TGCAAAACAGTCATAGTTACACACCTCCGCGGCCTGCCTGACTCTGCATAATTTGGAGTCACGGGGGCCCCGCCGTTCAGTGTGTGTGACTTGTGTTCGTGCGCGTGAACGGCGCAAACAGAACGCGCTAACGGTGCGGCACACGGCGCGCATGCGGCCATTGTTGGCTGGAGCGGCGGAGCAAGCGGAACCAGCCTCCTCTCTGCGGATTTGCAGCCTCGCTGGAGCTGGAGCATGTGATTCGTCATGGATCCCCTCACGGTGTGCCGCTGCGCGCGTTATTGACGTGTGTTTGGCTTGCCCTTTCCATCCGCTGTTTTGTTGTTGGTTTGTTGTTTTTCCGCTCTCGCAGGCCGTGCCCTGCCGTGCCTGGAGACCCTGCCCTGCCGTGCCGCTTTATAGGAAATAGGCTATGATGTTGTGGCCCATGCCTTTACGCGCATCTGCTGCCGTCCCCGTATAATATCCGCGTCGTCTTTGCCTTGCCCGCTCCTTCTATTCCTTCCGAAAACCGTTTTCCTTTCTTTCCCCCCGATCCTCGATGGCCCTTCGGCAGCCCTTCGACGGCCTGGAGGTCCTTTGGCCCATTGACCCTTCGCGGTGCAACGCGGCCATCGAGAGATCGAGAGATCGAAAGACAAGAGGCACGGTATTTGTTTTCTCCCTCGCAGGTAAGAATGATCGAAGTGCGGGGCTCATCCCTGGAGGAATGCGGCAGTCTGGCGGCGCGATGAAGCGACGAGACGAAACCTTGTTCTACTGAGAGTCTTAGGTGCAGCTAGGTGCAGCAAGCTGGCGTGGGGATTTTCTTGTGGAGTGTCACGGTGCGCCGCGTGGTCTGCCGTGGCCGCGATGGGCCGCGATCGCCGGGTCCGTTTGGCCGTTTGGCCCGTCTGATCCGTTCAGTCCAGTCCGTTTCACTCTCGGCCATTTTGGCGCGCCGTGTCTCACACACAAAGGGACGGCCGGCGAGGGCCCCCTCCCCCTCCCCTCCCCGCCTCCCCACCTGCTTGGCCCGCTTGGCTTCGTGCGGCCCTAATTGACTCCGCACAATCGAGGCACAATCGAGGCACAATCGAGGCAGGGCCAGGAAAGCGAACAAGATTCGCGAGGAGGCGACACGACACCCCAACGGCAACGCAGCCAAGCAGTGCAACTCGAGCACATCTTTCGCACCGTCATTCGCCCCATCTTCTTCTTCTTTCTTGCGAACCCCAAACAGAAGGCCCACCGGCCGCGCGGCTGTAAAAATGTGCCGCGTCTTGCATCACAATACAGCAGTGCTCGGTTTCGATAAAGAAGAGTGCAGAAAAGGCCGAAAAATTGCTGAAGGATTTTATTGTGAGAACGGCGGCGCGGCAGCGGGGAGAGGGCCTCAGTGGCCTCAGCCAAGACGCCAAGACCCAGCTCGGCTCGGCACTCTCTGCATCTGCTTGGACTAGCCAAGCACGGCGACCCTTCATTTCATTTCATTTCTTGCCTCAGCGTCCGAGGGTGAGGGTGTTGCGCTAAACAAGAAGCGCGCGTCGACGTTGAAGGCACGCACGTGTGTGTGTTTGGGGGGGGGGGGGGGAGGTCCCTTGCACCAACACGTCATTGTGGCGGCCGGGCCCGTCCGCAAAGCACCAGGCTGCGCCCCACCTTCGGCCCGAGGCACGTCGCCGAAAGGAGATTCGAATCTCGGCCCGGCCAGGACGACGACGACCACGCCGCGACACTGTACGACACTCGACGGCAACCGGGCAACCGGTTTGCTTCGATTGAGCCGTTCGCCGGTCGTTTTATGCACGCGGACCGTCGCAGACCGGGGTCAGAGCGGGCAGCGCATTCCCGTGTCGTCGAAAATGAATCGCAGGCCGCGGCCCATTCTTTGCGCGGCAGTGCACTGCGGGGCACCGCATGCATCGCAGTGCACTGCCGTCGCGCCGTCGCCGCGGTGCTGGGTGTGCTGGGTGGTCATCGTTGCGCAAACATCGCGTGACCGATTCCGAGCAGCGACTCATCGGTCGCCCTCTCTCGCACCCTCGCGGAGCGCCCCATGCGTCCGAGAGAGACAGCGACGCCGGCTCGATCGGAATCAGTCTGCGGTGATTTGCATTGGCGCGGCGCCTACACCGCCGGAAGTCCTCCGCGTCCAGTGCGGTGCCACAGTGCCACGCAGTGCCACGCAGCGTGGGCCGTCCGGCCCGTTTGGCGTGGTCGGTGCACTACTTGGCGATAAGCGGCACACAGGATGGGGCGTGGCGGTCGGACCAACGCCTTTCCTGCAGGACTTGGCACCTCCGCTCCGCAACCAGGTCGACAAGAGCGACAGCCTCGCCCCGCCAGCGCCGCCCGGGCGGCGCCATCAGCGCCATCGGCACCCTCCGGGACTCCGGGCCTCTGGGGGCGTCGTCACCGGCCCGGTCACACGTAGGGCGCAGCCCACCGCACGCATGACCCTACCGGGCCGCAGACAAGCCGCCATCTAGAGTACGCCCTGCAGCTGGGGCTGGGGGCCGGGCGGGGCGGGGCCTGGCCTGGCGGGGCCTGGTTAGTGTTATTCCACCAAGTCTGACCCACATCCATTTCGGTGCTGCTGGCGCCCTGGCTGGCGCCCTGGCTGGAGGAGGGCCTCGAACGACGCGCGAGCGTCCCAGACATGGCCAGACGGCCTTTCTATCCGAACACCACCGCCGCCAGGGGTTTTTGCTCCCCCCCCCCATAGCCCCGCCGAGGCATTAATCGCAATCGCCTGAAAGGTAGGCAAAAAGTGCGACTTTGCCCCCCCCCCATAAGCCGCCTCTGGATCAGCACCACAAACAATTCAAATCCAATCCAAGGACTGCCAGGGACTGCCAGGGACCCAGGGAGGGGGACGGTCGTTGTGCTGAGAACACGCCAGCCTCGGCGAAAAACTTTCTTCGGCGTGTTCTTCAGCGTGCGTGCAGCACACACATCGTCGAGAGGGGGTACTTGCTGGTCAAGGGCCCCGCGCCCCGCCCCGCCCCGCCCCGCGCCCCGCCCCGCCCCGCGCCCCGCCCCGCCCCGCGCCGTCCCCCAGGTCATCACAAGATGCCTCCGCTGTCCGGGAGAGATTCGCTTTGCATGTCAAAACGCGGACGCACGCCACGCCCCGTGTCCCGTCACGCTGAGACACCATTCGGGGGTGGAAATGCCACCCCACCCCTCCCATTGTTTGCCGCACTCAATTCGTTCATTCATTCATTCCGTTTCGTTCATTCAGTTTCATTCATTCTGGTCCGTTTACTCATTCATACGTTCACTCATTTGTTCGTTCGTTCGCGCTACGCTATCAAAGCCGAACATACAGCGGCCCGTCTCAGCGTCGGGCCGGTCCAGTCCCTGGCCATCCAGGACGCCCAGGACGTCCAGGACCACCAACCTGGAAGCCTGGAAGAATCAGCTCTCCCTCCCATTAAAATTAAAACTATATAGAAATAAGAGGGCCGCGTAGTGTGAGTGCGTGTGTGTGCGAGTAAACCGAACCAGACGCCCCGCCCACGGCCGCCACGCCGCCACGCTCCGGGCGTTCCAGCACCAGTCGGGGCCAAGATCGGGGATGCGCAAGGCCGCGGGGCTGTGGCGGCGGCTCCAGGAGCGGGGCCCCTCGCCCCCCTCGCCCGGCTGGAGCCCTCTCCCGGGTCTTCGAGGAGGTCGGGGAGCCAGCGTGCCAACCGGCGAGTGCGTGGGACGTGGGCCGCGGCCGCACGCAGTGGACGCGCGGGGCCTTGCGCCTTGCAGTGGCCGGCCGGCTGGCTGGCGGCTCTGGCTGGGCGGCTGCGGGCAGCCAGGCGGCCAGGCAGGGCAGCCAGCCAGGCTGTGCCAGGGCCCCGAACTGCCGACGCAACCGCGCTGCGAAAAAACGCCACCGCCGGTCGTTGCGTCGCCGGTCAAGGTGGCGACGTAGACTGGCGACGCCAGCAGCAGAGCAGCAGGCTGTCTCTCTCACGAACAAGAGCGCCCCGTGAGTGCGAGGGAGAGAGACCGACGCAAACGGCAGTGGCACCCGATTGCGTACCTGCGTGGGCGGTGCAGGCGGTGCAGGCGGTGCAGCGTTCCCCGGGGCTGGGGCGCTGTCACTGCGCTGGGGTCGTCCTGTCTTGTCATCAAGATAAGGTGGTGTCTGGGAGCCTGGATGAGCCGGCCGGCCCGGCTGCCCGCACGGCCGACGCGACGCCCTGCTGATGGTGATCGCAGTGCCGGCAGTGCCCGAGAGGGGGAAAGTCAACCGCACCCTGTGGTGCTTGGCGTGCTTGGCCGACAGCCGGGCCTCCCTCGGCAACCGATTTCGCCTCCCCGTCTCCGGTGCGTCGCCATCCGCCATCCGCCCCCAGACACGTGGACGTCGTGGACCTGGTTCTGGATCCGCCCCCGACGAGTGGTGCGAGTTGGGGCGACGCATTGCGACGCATTGCGACGCCGGGACAAAGGAATCGGATTTAATGCCGCGCCACGCGTCTGGGGGAGGGGGAGGAGAGGCCGGCTGGCCCACCATTTGTCAAGATCCGAAATCGGCAGGTGCGGGGTATAGGAGGCTAGGCGTGCCAGGGCCGCTGCCCAGGGCTGCTGCCTACGGCTGCCCGGCCCGGGGCACGCGAGGCGAGGGGTGCCGGGGCAGCCGGGGGGCACCCATGGGCAGCGGGTCGGGTCAGGCAGGTCGGCAGGCCCTCGAGGAATGCAGACCATGCAGGGGGAAGGGCAGGGGTACAGGGATCGGTTCCAGATGGGGCCGCGATAGCCGATGGCCTGGCGATGGCCGAAAGCGTTGGCCGATTCAAACCAGCCCCAAACTACCCCAAAGCAGCTCGAAGCAGCGCCGGGCGTCGCGAAAGAGTACACCGCAGGATCCTGCAGGATTGGCGGAAAGGGGGTGGGGGTGGCAGTGAAAACCAATCGCAAGGAGGCAAAAAGTAATACCGACACCGGAAAAACACTTCAACCGTAAGGAAACGGGGAATGCCACACGCCCTCCCATTTCGTTGACACTTAGAGCTCACCTGTGTGTTAGGCACCATCGTTGGCTCCTGCTGAGGCATCGCGCCTGTCTTCATCTCAAAACTAAGTCAGGGATTGAGGGGCACTCGTCTGGAGCTCACCGCCCGCGTAAGGCCGCATAACATGGCACCACCACTGGCGCCATCAGATTGCCAGGCACTTGGGCCCCACTTGCACTTCACACTTCACACAGCGGGTAGTGGTTCAGTCCACTAAGGCACAGCACTTCACACACATCGATGACACAACACTCGACACTGGAGCAGCGAGAGCAGCGCGCGTAGGTATCCACAGGAAGGGGCGTAGGCGAAATGGCAGGGGAGATGGGGGCACGAGTGCGCGGCTCGGCGTCCCCGGGAAGGAACGCGACGCAAGCTGGACGCAAGCTGGAGCGGCACGGAACGCTACGTGCGAGCGGGAAGCCGTCCAGCGGCACACTGCACTCAAATGAAATAAAATGCTGAATGCGGCGTGCGGAGGGAGGGGTGTGTGAGGGGCCTCTAGCCGGCGGACGCGGACTCGGCAGTCATCAACCCTCCCCACTCCACTCTCTCCACTCGGCGGCGCGCATGCGCACGCGGAGCCCCTTGCTGCTCACAGAGGGCAGCACGCACTACACATCATACTTGCCACGCTTAGAGCTCAGAAGCAAATAAAATAATCTGACAGAACGAAAAATAGTGCGTTTGAATAGCCGCGCCTATCATGCACTCATTGCAGCTCCCGAAAGTGACCCTATCTGGAGCCCGGCACACGCCACACGGCCTTTCCCGCTGAAGGGAAGGCCGCAAAGTCCTACAGCGACCCGCGAAGTAACTGCGGATACCTCAGCAGCATTCAGAATGAAATCGTCCCAGAAGCGCCCCTTGGCCAGGCCTTGGGGTGAATCAAGAAAGACCCAGATATCTTTTTGTGTTCTTTATTAAAATTACTAACATCGATATCATAATTCATGAGTACAGTTTGTGATAACAAAATAAGAAAAGTTATGAAAACGTGTAAGTGTGTAAAACATGGAACAAATAAGTGTTATGCTAGGACGGTCGTTGCTGATTCTTCTCACATTTTATGGCCCACTTCTCAAGTAGATCAAGCTTTAGAAAAACTAGCATACAAAAATCCAGGTCTCAGTCACTACCACAATATCCTTCAGCCTGTTCATGGTTCATGACCTGTCCTATTGGTCTGAGAAATTCAAGACTCTCCAAACTCTTTCTTTGGTCTGCATCTCTAGTTCCCAATTTAGTGGCAATTACTATAACTGTAATTTCAAAATTGACAAAAAGAATCCTCTACATAATTAATTATTCCCACATAATCTCATGAGCAATAGTGACTAAATAACAATTAGGACAAAGAACAATAAATAAGTAATGGCATAAGGTAATGCTAGTGAGCACAATAATAAGTCTCTAATGCTCCTTTTTCAATGGAATGTTAAACAATGAAACTCACAAGGCAACAAAAAGTAGGCTTTACTTGAGGAAGAAATTAACAAAATTCCTACCAAATGCAATGTACATTTTGTTCGGAAGAGGGGACTAGTTTTGAATTAACTTCTAAGATTACACTAGATGAATAAAAGACAATTGCTGTATAAAAACACGAATTTTTAAAAATTCTTATGATAATGATATGTTTTACAATTACCAATACACAAAGAAGGTACTAACTAGCAGTTAACAGGAATGTTCAACCACACGAAATTACAGGCATAGGAACTTATATGGATCAATTATGGTCTATCTTCATGTTCATCTGACAACAGTCTTCTTGGCTGAAAGATAAGTCACAAGCCCTTGGAGTTTAATGTGGATTGAGAGATTGAACATTTTAATACTTGAGCATCACATTACATTTCATTAAGAAGAAACTTTGAAATAAATAATTATGGGGCTACAAAAACAAGAGCCTAATGCTGTTCTGGTTTTATATACTATGCAGTAATTTCTTATCTATTTTTACTCGTTCTTTACCTACTTTCTATATCCATACAAAGGTAAAGACGAGTATTGTGTTTGGTAAGACACAACTTGGTGACACATGTTTAACTCAGTAAATACTTAACACACAATTGTAATGTAATATTTTTTGAATAGGTATGGTTTTGGTGAGAAACTAATGTTAGAAGCTTTTTTCTGTTACCATGAAGCACTTTTTACCTTAAAATCAATAGGAGCGAAGTGCAAGTTCTGGACTGAATGATGGAATAGGATATTTTGCAAAGTTAAACATTTAGGACCAAGTGTTGTGACTCATTAGAAAGCCAACAATGAGTCCTAAAATTCTCCTCTTATGAATTTTACCCGTTTATTACATGATTTTTTGAGATTACTAGATGTTGTGCTGTTGCCAGCCTAAGTCCCACGGTTTTAACCTCAACAACGGTGCCGGCGCATGCGTCCTCTCGCCGCTAGGTCTCAGGGAAGCCCCGTTCCTCTAGGGGCATTGTTAGCGCACCCCAGCCATGTAACGTGATGTAGACCAATGGATACAGCCCTGCTCCCCCGATCTCTAAACCCAAGTTCAATGCCCATAGATTGTACTATACAAGCATTATTTTTCTCTGAAGTAATGTTGTTACCAAAACCTTGAACTATTCAGAAGACATCAGTTAAATGGTTTACGCCTTATATTGACTGAAATACTGAGATTACATTTGTGTCACCTGAAGGCAAAGAACGAGTACCACTTAGCAAAATTGATAAATTGCTTCTCTAACTTGTTTCAAAATGTGAATCTATCTGACACATGATTAAATTTTACTTGGGAACACGCTTTAAAACTTTCCCATTGGGATCTGATATTGCATGCTTAGGATCACAAGTAAAGGAGACAGTCATAGCAAATCTTGTACCAGAGCGAACTCGTTCCACAAAGTGTGTATTTTCTTTTCCGGAGGTAAACATGGAGACTCTTCCTAAAAGATGCAAAGAAAAAAAACAAAAAAAAAAAAATTTAGTTGAAAATGGAAATCTTCACATAAATAAGAAAAGCCAAGGGCTCAAGCTTCTTAGTCAACATAAAATAAATAATTATTCTGCTTAGTGAGTGTTCTTACCTTTTCTGGGTTCAACTGTAGAATTGACATTATCTTTATCAATGAAAACAAAACGGCCTCCATCAAAATCCTCACCATAATCAGACAAATACAGAAGTGAAGTGTAATGGAATGACTCATATGTATCCTGCCAAAAAGAAACAAAAACCTTGTTTTTAAAAAATTCTGATTAAAATTTTAAAAAATATGTAAGGATTCAAACCTTGTCAACATGAGGATGCCAGTACTCATCATGTTCTGTGCCAGGAGGGAGATTAGTTAATCTTGAGAAAAAGGTTGGGTGAGTGAGATATAGTACATCGGGTGAAATCTTGAAGTTTTGGGCAACAGCACGGTGTATTTTCATTCGAACTTGCCTGTAATTATTGAACACAGTTGAACAAATCCCCAGCAATAATACATCAAATTTTGAATAGCCATACAGGTTTAAATGCATATCTTACTTGTAGGTATCAAAATCCGATTTACGATAAATATTTTTTCCTTTTTCAGTCAAGTACATATTTATGAAAGTACGCCCAACAGACAAAGCACCAGAGTGCAAATCAAGGATGGATGCCCCTCCAAGTGAGCCACCAAGATTAAGGCCTCGTTTTGCAATTTCAAGCATGGCCTGGGCCTCAGCAGCAGTTATCAGACTGTCAGAGATGAGTCTTCCACACTTTTCGGGAACGCAGCCTGGAAATTGTTTGAAATTAAGAATAAGGTAGTTGTCATTGTGAATAACTGCACAAAGAACAAAGGTGATAGTTAACCTGGATAATGTTCCACCTCTGCCTTAAAAGAGTCAGAACATTCCAAGGGTTGCTTTCGTTGATGTAGAATTTCATGCTGACGAGCAAGTGGCACTTCTTTTCCAGTCTTGTAAGAAAAGTAAACTACCGTTAGCAGAGCTAGGATCATCACAGCCCTGGTCCAAACACGTTGGTGAGGAAATCTGGGCATCGGGCCATATTTTCTGCAAAATAAAGAATGTATGAAACAAAAAGAAATGACAAACAGACAAGACAAATCTGTTGAATTCACAGCAGAACAGAAACATAGAACCATGCCACTGAATGCTCAACTTAATTTGAAACAAGCATGAAAAGCGTTTTTACATTGTGGCAAATAGCCTTAAGCACAATAAAAGAAAAATGACGAAAAACCATGGACTTACAGCTCTGGATCGCGTTCTGTCTGCTGGGTGTCATCTCCAACCTTCGACTTCTTAGAGTCTTTGGGAGAATCCTTTTTTTGATCAGTTTCTCGAGCTTTATTGGCGCTGGCTGATTTTCCGGGTCTCCTTACCGGCTTGGTTTCTGTTTCCATGATGACGACAATCACAAAATACAACTATAATTCAATTTTGAACGTTGTTCGTTAGAAACCCTTTCCCCTTTTCACTTCTTACTCCTCGCGTTCTTCTCTCCGCGCCCCGGCGCCCCGCCCCTCCCACCCACCCCCTCTCATGAAAACATGAAGCACAATTTCTCATAGGAAACCCGACTCCGGACGACTGAAACTACCGAAGTGACTCGTGTCAGAGAGAGATAGCTTTGTTGTTAGCGAGAGAAAGAGAGAGAGAAAGATTATTTCTACTGAAAATAGATATGGCCGCCGAGCACTGCTGACGACCAGACAAGAGAATATTTTATTTTATATTATTGTTGATTTTGTGGAAATTATGTGATATTATCGAGCTCAGAGAGTGTACGGAAAGTTTCCCTATGCAGTTAATCCGCGGGAGTGAAAGATGTCCACGCGATCTCAGCTAACTAAGGATCTAAACGGTATGTTCATCTGAACCATGTTTACATTTTCATTTGACAGTTCTTATTTCGAGTGTCTCTGTCGTATCTTTCCATTTGCTGATTGTTTGTATAGCCACCTCTTGACTTACCCTTCATCATAGAGTTCCTCCTTCAACCCTTTCCAGTTTTGATGTGGCCGAAATAGATGTTATTGGTCAGAAAGCTGCAGGGTCGGAGCAGCCGCCCTTTCTTTATCGTCAACCCATTGCTTGTGCCTCTGTGGACTGTCAAGCACTTACATGAAAGATCTGTTAGCAAATCACCAAATGGAATGTGGTTTAAAGGGAAATTTGAAGACCGAGTCGTTCAGTGCGTTTTGCAGAGATGGTCCCTGTCAAAACATTAAGGTTATGTTTCGCATGACTCATTGAGGCCGGAACAGTGACTAGGTTCCTACGAATTCTGAACTGACACATTCCAAGGCTTAAACTCAGCTTACTCCCTCATGATCTACTGATACCTATATTTCAGTCTTATAGTAGTGTAATCATTCTCATGGGGTGCAGTTCAGTTGGGTATGAAGTCATTGTTATTTAATTAATGGCTGTATTTTTATATAGCAAAATTCTTGTTGTTCTCTCCTGTATCTCAATTCTGTTTTGTTGTTATTTTTAGCAGACACACCTTTGTCTTTAAGATTTCTTGTTAACAAGTTTTGTTTTCTTTTGCTTTTCAGAAAGTGTTAAAGCTCTTCTAGGGAAACATGTCAAAATATTGCTCAAAAATGTTGTTAGACTGGAAACCAAGGGGGATAAAACTGAAAACCGAGTACTGGTATGACACAATCATTTTTAATTTAATGAAAACTATAATTACTATTGTGTATCTTGGGTTTTATATACGCATGTTTGTATTTCAGGTTTTCTCCCCGTGCCGTCTATTTCTCCTCACAGCCAAAGTCCCCACCAGGGTGAGCACCTGACCTTATTAGTAGTATGCTGCCATCCCCTGTTGTTTACAAATGCAAAAATGCTTTCCAGCCACTTTGAGATAGAGTCCTAGAACCTAGTTCTAAAAGTCTACTTTTGAAAGGGTGGCCTTGTCACATCATTCAATGCTAGCATGGCAACAAGGGGTCCGAGATTCTGGGAGTTTTCTGTTGCTTTTTAAATTTTATTTCATAATCAAAATTTTGTCTCTGTTTAGATTGACTTCCACTTTCATTACCTGGAAATTCAAGCGATTAGCAGTGTAAAAAGCAATCAGGTTTGTTGCCTCTTCAGCATTTTACCATCTTGTTTGAAATCTGAGTGGTTTTTGTTTAATAAGTTTATGTCCTTTTTGTTTGAACTTTCAGCTTTGCCTAACCGTTAATGACAAGGTGTATTCATTTTTAACGTATGAAGAGCAGGGAAGCCAGGAAGTTGATGCAATGGTAGCTGCTCTTGCAACTGCCATGAGAAACATTTTTCCAACAGTACCCCTTCAGTGAGAAAATTATTTTGCTCTTTTACTTATTTTCATATCAGACTTTCACCATTTTCATGAGTTGTTGGTTTGTAGGCACATTGTCCGAAAAATTGAAGTCCAGCCTCCGAAGCGCATATCACACCTTCAGGACGGAGAAATTATCCGTGGTGCTGAAGTGCGAGGCATGGGTCCCTGTGGAGGCTTCAGCACACAATATGCTTGCATGTGTGATTTTCATACAATGCCTTACCGTGACGAAGTTGCCTGGGTATGATTTCTGGTTTCATACTGTTGTTGTGTCCTTCTTTGAGTTGTGCCAATTTTCTAAAACTGTTCTAATTTTCTTGTAGGATGTTGATACTATCTACCTTTCCCATGACACACGAGAGCTGTCTTTAAAGGATTTTGATCATCTTGATCCAAAGTACGTGTTCAATTAGTTGATGATGTGATTTTAGTAAAAGTAAATTGGCCAAACAGCCACCTAATGTTATTTATTGTTTCTCATTGTAGAGATCTAGTGCCCATCATAAGTGCTTTGGAATACAATACTTGGTTTACAAAAGTAAGAGCAAGTAATATTTGCCTCACACGTGAAGCCCTTGATCGTATCCTGCATGTTGTTAAAAAGTCACTGAGCATTGAAGAGCTATACCTGGACTCAATTGGGGTGAAAGCGTAAGTGTTTCATTCCATATATATTATAACTTAGTTTGTATTTCTGATCTTGACCTTTGACAGTGTAATAAAAATTTCTTTCAGTGACTTTGCTCATAAGCTTTCCCTAGCAGTGATAGCAAACACAAGTACTGCTCTTCATACGTTGGATCTTTCTAACAACATGATTGAAGATAAAGGTAAAGAACTACTTTTGATTGCTTTTATTTGGGAATGCTAGTTTGATGTAGTTTTTTGTATCATAAAAGTGCTTAGATTTTACCCCTGAATATTTTTTTTTACATGTTGATTAGTTCTTTTAGCTTTTGATGTGATCCCTTCTTCGTTGATTTGCAAAGCACCAATCAGTAGCTTGTAGAGCCACATTATCTTATCTTGGAATCTTGGAATCCTATACAACCCTACCTTTATTACGTCTCACTTCTATTGCCCATAGGTATCTGGAGTTTGTGTGGGATCGTTGCCAAGTTAGCACCAGGTGTGGTTTTGTTTTGGTATCATGAGAACAGATTGCTTTAACTACTATTGCATGTGTTTTGCTAGTTGCGTTGGTCCTACAAGCTTGCAGGACAGCAATATTCGCAAAGTTCTTGCATGCTCTACTTTTGTAACTTTGAATGTTATAAAGGAAAACTTTACTTCTTGTAGAACTGGCTGAATGTTTTTGCTCGTATGATACTAATAATGTTAATAATAATTTTGTCTTCACAATAGGTGCATCCCATTTGAGTGGTCCACTGGCAAAGGTTCCCAAGGGGCTGGTACATTTAAACCTATCATACTGTGGGTTGACTTCAAAAGGTGTCAACCAGCTGGCAAATGCTCTTGCAGTCAACAAGTTCATGCCCAACACTCTTACTTACTTGAATCTTTCAAACAATAGTTTGAAAGAAGATGTTACTGTGAGTAATTTGATGCAGATTCTGTATTACCTTTATATTGAAAAAAAAAAAAACTAGATCAAGTAGATGTATAACTCATGTCTCTTCTTTTCACACAGAGTTTGTGCAATTTTCTGGCTCAACCTAATGTTATCAAGCACCTGGATATCTCAAAGACCGAAACAACACTGGAAGCTGTAAGCAATTTTTTTTTAAATCTGTATTTTTTTTATCTCATTATTGTGTAGCTCTCTTTTCATACTGCTGTTGGTGCATTTCTCAGGTCTTTGGAGCCCTTCTTCGAGGATGTTCAACCAATCTCGTTCACTTGAATGTTTCTCACAATTTATTTTCCACCAAAAAACATAAAGAAGTTCCATTATCTTTCAAACAGTTTTTCACTAGTACTCTTATGCTGAAATACTTGAATATGAGTTATTGTAAACTTCCCCTTGAGGCGCTTAAGTATGTATTCTACCTTATTTTTTAAATCTCAAATTTTGGATTTGTAATTTTTTTAACATTTTTATTTGTTTTTAAATTTTACCAAAGGAATCTCCTTCTGGGTTTGGCTTGCAATGAGACAACATCTGACATGGAGTTGGATATGAGTTGCAATAATTTAGGAGCACAAGGAGCACATGTTTTCGAATCTTGTATCCATGGAGTGCGATGCATTGGAAGCTTGGATATTAGTGATAATAGTAAGGGTTGTAAATTATAAAATTTATTATAAAGTGAAAATTTTACCTTCTAGTAATGATTGTCTTAACACATTTTTCCCCTTTGTAACATTCTTTCAGACATGGATGTTGACCTGGCTGGAGTAGTCACAGCAATCAGCAAGAATAAGTCTATAAAACATCTTAATATAGGACGCAATATGGCAAACATGAAGGCTAAACACATTGCTACTGTGATGGAAGCGGTTGTTCAAATGTTGCAGGAAGAAGATTGTGTGCTGCAAACTTTAAATATATCTGACTCCAAACTCAAATCTGATCTATTTAACCTTATAAATGCCCTCGGGAGCAATCATTGCTTGCAGTCAATTGACATAAGGTTTGTTTGTTAATTTCCTTTATTTTTCAAAGTGTGGAATGTAATGACTACTTTCATGGTTATTTTTGCCCCCAGTGGTAACATGATGGGTGATGGTGGTGCTCGCTTACTGGCAAAGGCTCTGCAAATTAATTGCCGCCTTCGAAGCATACAGTATGATCGGAACAACATCACTTTGCCTGGATATTGTGATTTGGCTTATGCATTGGAAAGGTACTTAAGAAACATTTCTCTTTGAGAGTATTCAATGCCTTTCTTATTTATTGAACTTGTGATTTTTTCATTTTGTTCTGTCAATGTAGCAACTACACTGTCAGGTACATGCCATTGCCACTGATGGATGTACTTCCTTGCATGAAAGTGTCGGCTGAGCGCACAGATGCTGTTATGAAACGAATTCAAGACATTCTTCATCGCAATGTATCTCCCAAGAAATACAGTAATGGTCAAGCCTTCAGACTACAACAAGGCTTTTTGTTGAGTTCCACTCAGCAAATGGTGGACAGACTTGTTGTTCAAACTCAAGAAACCATTAAAGTTCTTGCACAGAGTGCAGATTCCACCCAAAATAATAATCAGATTAACCATGCCACTGGTCTTATCCAAGATGCTGACAACTCTAAGCAGGTTTGTCATAATTATTGTAAGCAAGTCTGAGGAAAGTTTTTGGCTTTGAGAATTAACACATGGATTGGTGTTCTATTGGTGTGTTTCAGTTACTACCCCGTCTTCAAGAGGTGGTTCAAAGGAGACATGACATAAACAACCCTATTGACAAGAAATTACGCAGTATTTCAGAAGACTTACACACAACTATTGTGGATCATTTACAGGTATCTACCATTTAATAAATACATACTAAATGACAAAATATGAACAATTTTTAAATCAAAATGAAATTCATTTTTAAATTAAAATGAAATTCTTTTTTGCCCCATGAGCTTGAAGTCAGTCACTTAACATGTACATTTGATTTTAGGGAACTTTGGAGGCCATGATGAGATGCGCCAATGAACAGTGCCCAACTGTTCTTGAGGAAGATAAAGTTCAGACAGAAATTCGAAAAACATGTAGGGAAAAGAACCAACTTGCACCAGATTTTGTTCAGACTTGTGTAATGGAACAGGCTGGAACTGATATTATTAACAGAGTCAAGTAAGTGTTAGTAGAGAGTAGAGAGAAATGTGGTATGTGTGTGTTTTTTCATTGTCATTTTTTTAAAAGTAACTTGCCAAAATTAATTTTTTTAAAATTTTCTGTGTTTCTAGTGAGTTGAACTTGGCAGCTGCAGCACATATGTCTGACCGCATAACTGATGAGGTCATAGAATCCTTGTCTCGTTGCTATAAGGGCTTGGTAAGTTGCACATTTCCTTTATTTTCGTGTGTAAAGTACTTCCTGACAAAAAGCGTCTGCAATTCTCCTTTTTCTCCTTTTTCGCAGGCTGGTGACAGTGGTGGAAGAAAGCGAGCTTCCACTCCAGATGTCTTAAGGTCTCGATCTCACATCAGTTCTGATTCATCTCGACAGGACCTCGCAGAAGCTTTCCTTGACTCCCTTTCACCACAGCTAGATGAGTCTCCTCTGGTATGTTATCATTAATTATTTCATTCCAATGTGAGTGTGCAAAAGGCTAATACAATTGCTTCTTCTTTCTCGTTTCTACAATGTCTAAAAAACTATTTCCTCTACAGTCTTCTACTTCTTGCTTTTTTCCCCCTCTTCAAGAAATTTCCTTATTGGTTTTGACTTGATTGTAAATACCTAATTTAGTTTAAGGAGTGCAAAGTGTGTTTTATAATTGCTTAGGGCAGTTTCCCCTCATCCTTCAAGAAAAGCAATTTTCACTAATGAATTATTTTTTTTATTTCTTTTATTCATTCATCCCTCATCATGATCAATAGAAGTTGGAATATTTGAATCTTGTAAGTATGGAGTTTTTTACAATGTATGCTGCTTGACCAGCACCAATAGTTGTTGTGGTAACATTGTTTGGTTTGTTTGGTATTTGGATTGTGCTCCTTGTCTGCATGGTAAATTCCTGCTGTCAACTGAGTTGTTGTAATACATATCAGATAGTACAGTTTTAAACTACATGTGAGGTATTTTTTGAAGCATGTGACTAGTCTGAAGTGTTTCCATAGCATTCCAGCAGTATGTGCTACTAAAACATACCTAATTTATGAATATTATCTTTACCTTAAAAATTTGTGTCTTATGTCTTTATTCTGTTGTTGCATTGTTCCAACTAACTAAAAGTGGTGTTTGTATGTGTGACCTTTTTGTTTTATATCAACATGTCAGTAAAAATCTGTAGTCTTATTGTGCTTGAATGCAGCATGGTAATTAAAAATCCTTGTGTAACTCTAAATCTCTATGAGTTAGTTTTGTGCCTTAGACTTCCGAGATATGATTAACTTTTAGCTATTTTTTTTTCTAGTTAGAAATGTAGAGTTGACCTTGTTCTTTCTTCTCGTCTGTATGTACTCTTTGAAATAGAGGCTTATAGATATAATTAATGTGCAACAAACCACCAGTAACATCTAGATGTCATATTCTGATTTATAATTTCCTTTTATTAACTCTGCATGGTCCAGACAGGTGTAGCTAGATGATTAATTCCTGTTTTGCTTATTTTCGGTTTAAAGGGTAGTCTTTAGATGTGATCAAATGTTCCAATCTCTTTTAAGTGCCTCCTGCCTGGAAGAGACACAGGTGCCATCTCTTATTAGTTGCTATGTAGTGTAATAAATCAATTATTATTTCAGGCAACTCCACACCTCATGAGCAAACGAAAGAGCCTCCACGGCCGTAAACTGCGACCCAAATCTGTAGTCGACAGTGTAGATGGACTGTCGGCTGATGATATTCCAGATCTTCTACCGTCACTCACCAAAAGTGCAGAAGGTAATGATCCATTTAGTTATAAATTGTCGCTCTTACCTAACTTCTTTTTTAATTGAGAAATAGTGTCTTCCGGTGTGGCAGAATCCCTTGACTCCGTGGCGGAGCTTCCACGGTCTGTAGGCCAACAACTGCAACACTTAGTAAAGGGACGTCCCAAACGTGCTAAGACGAGAGCTCCTACAAGGCCTATGTTGCGTCCAGCCGATTCTACTGATACCTCTGATCTTGGTGAGGGATTGGACACATTCTTCCGACCAGGGTCAGTCACACCAACCACTCCCCTGGTATCCCCAACGTCAGATGACAGCAGGTACGGTTTGCTTCAAATTTAGAGATTTTAGAAAATACCTAACACAAATATCTTGCTGTGGAATTGTCAATCATGGTGCAATCATGATGCAAAACTTATTCAAGAATTATCCCATTTTTCATCAGCTCTCACACATTTCCTATTGAAAGTGAAGCTGAATCGCTTGACAGTGATAAAGATCGCAGAAATGGGGGTTTGGGTATTTTGAAGGATAAAGCAATCAAGAGGTAAATGTTGTACAAGTGAAGTTTTATTTAAATGTTGTTGTGGTCTTTTCGTCATTTTTATTCAAATTAAAACTTCTTTTCTAGTTCACCATTGTTAAAAGGAAAGACAAGTTTGCTGGACTCAATGCCTCGTTCACCCGATCTTCTGGATAAGAACTCTCCGCTAGCTGGGCGGCGTCCACCCACAGCAGAGTCTCCACTTGTGAAAAGAGGCCAAGATGCTTTAAACTCTGACACAAGTAAGTATTTCCACATCTTATGTTTTCACATTTCATTGTTTAATCTTGAAACTGTAACAAAGGCCCTGGTTGTATCTCTAGCTAAGACTGAACTGAAAACTGCTGTCCCCAAACCACTGGCTGTTGATGTTAAGGCTCGCCTCAAACCTGTAAGTTGTATGTGATGTCATTTTATCTATGCGCTGGTTAAATCTGTTTTGCTGCAATAGTTCAAATTTGTGTCCAGGATGAAATCGTAGCTGAAAAACCAGCTTCACCGACAGCTGTGCCTTCTGTGCGACTACGCTCTACTGGCCTTGCTGACTCCCTTCGGTCACCCACTAATGGATTTCCTAAAACAAGCTCATCCATTGGCAATGGCATTGTACCACCTTCAGTTGAGACTGCTCCCAAATCACCAATTCTAAAATCTATATCAAAGGAGTCTAAAAATGAACTTTGTAAGTTGTTATTAAGTTTTAGTGTTCTTCAGTACTTTACGGATGTTCCCTGTTAAAGTGTGAGTTGTTTTTATTGTTTTAGCATCTAAAATTAAAGGACCTCCACCAATCGCTCCTAAACCACGGCCATGGTCCATGGGTGGAGACCGAAAGTCAGGTAGGTTTAGGTTTGCACTTATAGGAGCTATCTGATTTAAGTTCTCTATCTTTCCTCCCTAATTTTTATTTTTTCCCCACACAACCAATATTATTTAAGGTGAATTCTCTGCAACAAGTGATGGGTCTAGTCCTAATACATCAGCAGCTAATACTCCAGATTCAGGAGATGCTCTTGACGAATCAACTGACTCAGGCCTCAGCTCAGGTATGTTTCATCTGCATCAAGCTAGAAGGACCTGTGAAGAAACTGAGGTCACCAGAAATCATGAATACAGCTCTTAATTCCAGGAACTAGTGGCGCTGCTTCTAGTCTGGAAAAGAAATCTGTCCGTGAACTAGCAGCTTCCCTAAATAAAACGGATCCTGATGGAAAGAAGAAGTCAGAAGCAGGTTAGTGTCCAATTTCAATTTTTTAACTTGCTCAGTAGACTGTTTTTGTTTTTGCTTGATAGAGTTACATGTAGAACTAAATAAACTAATAGTTTCTGTAAACTTAAATATTTGTGCATGTTGAATCATATACCAAGATCCAACTGGATACAATGTACGACTAGATTTTACATTTGTCCGCTTCAATTTCTTGTCAATGCTTTAGATATTTTAGCCCATCACATGGTAGAAGTGATGTAGTTTACCTTGGGGGCAGCTATTTTGTTTCGTTGCTTGGTCACAATTAGTACAGTCAACTACTTTGCATTGCTGTAAATCACAATGTAGAGTTGGTGGGCATTGTTTAATTTGATTGAAATCTTTTGTATTGCTTGGCGTTTATGCTTGTTGTCAACAAAAGTAGTAAACAATTTAGGTATTGTCCTAGGAGGTGATGGTAGCACTGGCAGTCGTAGTGAGGAAGGCAGCCCCCAGCCCTTCCCCAGGTCTGTTCTTAGAAGAAGCCTTGGTAGACTTCCTCCTATCCATTCTGAGGTATGCAGATTTGTCAAGTATTGCGTTTGAAAGTCTTCGTTGTTGCAAATGTAATAAACCACATAGTGCACATTTTTATTGATTTTTATTGGAACAAAATTTTGTATTGCTTGTAGCAAGTGATCACTGGGATTAAAAATCAAATATCTTATCTTGTTTTTGGTTTCAGGGGAGCTTGGGTGAAAGCATATTAGCAAACTGGAAGAACCGTGCCAAACTTCGGACTGCTTATGAGACTGAGCCTGGTGTGGATGATGTGGTCGATGTTTAACCACATTCAGCGAAGTCTATGTTAATCTCACTCTGTTATTGCTCTTTAGCAAATTGTTAAAATTAATTTTGATTGGGACAAAAATGCCATAATGCCATCGCTGTTGACTTATGATAATTCTTGACTTGTATTATGTAGGGTGTGAGTGTGTGTGAGTGTGTATAATGTGTATGTCATGTGTATGTGAGTGAGAGTGAGGATGTCTAGAAGAATATATGCTTAAAGTAAGTGAAATGATTGTGTGTACAAGGACTAGTCTGGGGCTGTGTATTTGTCAGTGAAGCAGGTTTTATTAGCTGTCTCATGCTCTGTTAATATTTGCCTTGGCAGTGATAGCAGATGCATTATATCTGTAAAAGTATGCTTTTTTTATTATTATTATTATTATTATTATTATTATTATTATTATTAAATTGATGACTGTCAGAGTATTATAATGTTTGAGTTTGTTCCTGCATGATTATTTTCAGAAGCACTACCACCAATTTATTGTATAAGAATCAGTTACCATTCTTTTCTTTACTCAAACTATCCATTCCAGGGACATATTTTCTCCAGCATTTTAATACACCGGTAGTTTGAGTAGCCATTATCCCTGTGTCTAGGAGTTAATTCTATGTAATTGCTGATGGTAAAATCCAGGAAAGTAGGTTGAAGTTATTGCTTTTGGGATTGGGGCCACCCATTTACCCATATGTTCCAGAGTAATGGAGCATGCATTCTTTCACCAAAAATTTCCATTTTTAGTATTATTGTTACTCTGAGAATGTTCGGGTCCCTCTTAACTACAAAGCCATTAAATCAAATTTGTACTTTAACATTGTCATTCTAATAAGTCAAGTCTTTGATAATAATTAAGTAATATTTATTTAGCTCACAAAACTATAAATGGCACCCAAACCTAGAATTTTGTCTCTTTTGCCAATAAAAAAAAAACAGTGATAATTGTTATGTGGACAGAAGCCTTGTAAGTTATTGTTATTGTGCTGGTTTTTTTCTGAATTAAATAATTGCTCTGTAAAAATTTAAGTAAAAGACTTCTAGATTATAATATAAAATCTTCAAATTGTAGGGAGACTTTGATTTTAATGGGGCAAGTTGTCTTCAATGATTGATTGCTCACAGCTGTAGTGTTGAAATTTAGAGTTCATGGTCATCAATTTCATATTTATAGTGACAAACATGTATTCAATTTTGTAATAAATTTGATGGAATAGTGAGAGAAGAGCAATAACAAGACAGAAAGGAAGTGACCAATTCTGTGGTTGAAAGATTATTAGGAATGGAATGAGTGAAACGGTCAGGCTTAGTAATGTATTGTGTTTAGAGCAGTTTGCGAGAGGGTTGGTGTAGCAGCAGTTTATTATTATTAAAATGTATAACACTGAAATTATGATAAATTTCTGCACTTCTACAATTTCAAGTTTGCTATGTTCCTTGATTTTGGGCCATTAGCTCATACATTATGCAACTTTACCATTATACAATCACAGTTCTACTGCTCTTCTCATTTTTTATTATTTTTAATGATTGGAAAAGATCGTTTTGGTCTCATCATTTTTTGATTTCAATTCTGTGCAATTTATTTATGTCTTCTCTTCTACTTCTTATTCATCATCGCTGTTAGTACCAACTGTTAATTGCTCCCATTCCTTGCGTTCATCCTTGTGCACTTTCCTTGCTCTTAAAGACTGGTTTCATGTTAAGTCTCTGTTGTTGTTCATTAACTAAAAGTCTATCTACCTTTATAAATGAGAGCATAGTGAAACATGGAAAGAAAAATTGTGCCAAAGGATCAGGTGGCCAATACTATTTCATGTACAATATTTACCTTTTATTCAATTGAAAATAGTGGTATTAGTAGCTTATAGTTTGAACAAGGCGATAAACACACTGGGTTTGAGTACTTTAGAGTAATAGAGTACTTAAAATTTTGATCCATTTCTCTTTCAGAAATCAAAGCAGACTAATGGCAATCTTGACCATTTCTGTAGAAAAAAATAGTGTGAGTTGAAGAATTCTGAGGTAATCTCTTCAATTCGGAGCAACTTTTACATGGTATCATTGTTATGATGTCAGAAGTTGTTGGTAAAATTTATAGAGGCCAATTCATCCCTTTATTAAATAATTTCACATTCCTTTTATCATGTCTTACTTTTCTGTGATTGCTCACTTTCATTCTTTGAGAAAAAATACTTGTTAGTCAAATCTACCTACCACAGGAAAAACAACAAGATATCACTGGAGCTGTATTTGTTAAATGATGAAAAACTAACGTTGCATCATCAAAACGCAGGCCTACTACATTTTTATTTTGTACCTCTGTGATTTGCCCAGGCAAATTTTTAAGTGACTTCCTGCTTTGGTTTAGCTGGGATGTGATTTGCTAGTTATTGTTTACTGTTCCAAGTGCTCTGCATTACAGCGCTTGTTTGTGCCAAATAATTTTTCCATTAAATTTAATATACAGAAATGCTTTTTACACATGTTTTGGTTTGCTCAATGTAACAATGAAAAAAGTTTTAAAGTATTGCTTTCCTCTACTAATATCGTGACATGGATTTTGTGCATCTACTGGGATCAGGAAGCCTTGATGTTCCACCTGGATATTAAACTGTTACCAATTTTGCTAAGCTGCATAGCCTCATCAGAATTAAAGTAGACATTGTTGAAGTGTTTTTTCTTGCTTCCATTATTTTTGCTTCCTGTCCCATTGAGGAATTTTTTTTGTCTTTTTTTCTGTCTGTTGAGGAATCATTTGTTGCCATTTCAAAACAGATTTTTTTTTCTGTTTTAAATTTACAATTACCAGTCATTCCACTAATTAGCAGCTAAAACTGTAAAGTGCTGTTAGTTTGGAGGGCATTTTCCTCGTATCTCAAAACAATAAATGCATACAGTACTTGACTCTGTGTTTCACTTCCCTCGCCTCCTGCTCTCTCTGACTCTCTTTCTCTCTCACTCTCGAGAGGTGTCCGCGACGGCGTCCACGTAGCGGCGGCACAGCGCCTCCCAGTGCTCGGGGCGGCCGCTGCAGCCTTGGGCTTGCCCTTGGCCGCCCTGCTGCAGACTCCACTCGGGGAGGGGGAAGCTCTCGACCGCCGCCCCCAGAGCCGCCGCCGCCCCCTGCTGTTGGAGGAGCTGCAGTTGCTGCTGCGAATGCTTCCGCGCGTAGTCCTCGCAGTCCTCCAAGGTGGCCTCCCCGCTCGACAGGCGCGCCCCGAAGCCGCTGTGGAAGCTCAAGTAACGTTGCTGCAAACAGGGGGAGGGGGCATTGAAGAAAGGCGAGGAGAGGATTGCGTTGACGAACATGCCGAAACGAGGAGCCCTCACCTGCAAGTTCCTGCTGAAGGCGCCATCCGCCACGATCTTGACGGCGGCCCGCAGCGCCCGGGCGTAGCAGTCGATGACCGCCACGGACGCCGCCAGCACGTCGCGGCCGTGGTCCCTGCTGTCCAGGGACTCCCTGCGCAGCGCCACGCCCACCAGCAGCCCGCCGGGCTGCACGCCGCCCTGCGGCACCACGAGCAGCACCGGCTTGACGCTCTGTCTCTCTCGCACCCCTGTGGAGCACCCCATGAGTGCGACAGAGACAGAGCGACTGTACAACGCTCACCTGCTCGACGACGCTCTTCATGAGGACTGTGGCGTCGCGCACGTCCGGGGGGAAGGCGCCGCTGGTGGCGTTGATGCAGCCCAGCATGCCGTACCTGGCCGGGTCACAGCGAGCTTAGTCTTCGCCTTTAGGATGGGGATGGTGGGCGCCCCAACCATCCCCAACGCCGCCCACTTGGAGGCACGCCAACTGGCCAACTCACGCGGTGCTGATGACGGCCTGGTGGCCGGGCGGCGCGCTCAGCTTGTAGTGCCTGTCCAGCCCGTACTGCTTGAGGAGGCACACGGCCGCGGCGGCGCAGTCGTCGTAGCGGCGCTGGGTCGCCCCACCGGCCGCCCCACCGGCCGCCCCACCCGCGCAGGGACTCCAGCAGCTTGGGTTGGAGCCAAGGCTAAGGCTGGAGCCAGGGCCGGAGCGCGGGGGCGAGGGCCGCGACGTCGTCTCCAGCAGCAACTGGCCGCGGTAGCCCAGCCTGTCGCGGTACTCTGCGGCACGAAGCCAGTTCAGCCCAGCGTGTCCGGAGAGCCGTTGCGTCGCTCTGTCTCTCTCGCACTCCCGCGAAACGCCCCTGCGAGCGCGAGAGAGACGGAGTGCCGGAACGACTGGAAATGGACGCAGTACTGACCGGCGGTCATCCGCAGCAGCCGCGCGTAGCCGCGCAGCTCCCTGGCGGGGTCCGTGTTGAGTGGCGTGGCGTAGCCCTCACGGCCGCCCCAGAACAGGAAGCAGTCCGCGGCCAGCCGCTGGGCCGCCTGCAGGGCGCGGCGTACCTGCGCCCCCGCCGTCGCCACCACGCCCGCGTCCGGGGCGGTGGCCGCGCCCTGGCTGTACCGCGGGTGCGAGTGCAGGTCCGCGGCCAGCCACAGCGGCCGGAGCGTGGTGCCCGCGCGCTGGGCCAGCTGCTGCAGCTCCAGGCACAGGTCCACCGAGTCCTCCAGGTTGCGTTGCGTCTCCTCCAGCGAGTCGCCCTCCGGCGCCAGGTCCCGGTCCCACGCCGCCCACTGCCTGACCCCTGCGGACCCGTGCGGACACAGTTCAGCTCACTGGCCAGACAGACACCGAGAGCAACGCCGGTTGAGATCTTTGGCGGACGGGCGAACATACCCAGCTTGCCGCAGAGCTCGAAGGCCGCTCGGATTCGGCGCTGGTAGTTCTCCAGCGAGTTGGTGCCGTCGCTCCAGGGCGGCTGCCTCTGGAACGTGGGCTGTCCGCACGAGTCCTCGCCTGGAAGGGAAAGCCAAAGCCGAAGGGGAGAAGGGTGCCGGCCCCGGCCGTCGGCTGGGCTCGCTGACCCAAACCACCCAAAGCCAACGCGGAGGCGGACCTACCCGTGGGCCGGAGCGCGTGGCCGAGCGACAGCGCGGGCCTCAGCCAGTCCTCCATGCTGCGGCCGTGGATGCGCTCCGAGGCGTTGTAGTACCGGTAGCACAGCACGTCCTCGGGGCCGGCGTCGGGGCGGTACTCGACGCGCGGCAGCCCTGCCAAGCAAGCCAAGCATGCCAACCACGTCACAGGCGGCCTGGGGTGGCGGTGGAACACGGGCATCACGGGTAGGGCCTTGGGTAGAGCAACGCACCGGGGAACAGCTCGGCGAAGTCCGACGCGGCCCTGGCGGACGTGGCGACGTCGCGGGAGGCGGACGCGGCCGTCTTCTGGCGCTTGGCGGCCACCGCGGCCTGCTGCTGCTGCGAGGTCATCTTGTTCATGGCTGCAGACTGGAGACGAAGACGACGCGCTGGCGGTCACTGCCGACTGCCGTGGGCCTTACTGCCCAGCGGGTAGGGAGGGCCGTCTAAATAATGGCTCGGCTGCAGCTCGGCATGCTCCTTGAGCACCGCCACACCGCCACTCGACCCTTGACACCGATACCTCCGGCACCCGGCAGGCCCGCCCCGCCAGGCCCGCCAGCCGGCTGCAGGACGGTTCACGGTCACGTTCACTCACAGCGCCACCGCCATTCACAACGAGGGTGCGCTCCGGTTTCCTCGGACTCCGAAAGCCGTTTTCGTCGCTCTGCCTCCCTCGCACCCATGGGGCGTCGCGTGAAGGTGCGAGGGGGATAGCGCGACGAAAACGGCTTCGGTCGGAACCAGTCTGCAGCGCGCAGCAAAGCGAGTCGGGTTCTCGGCGAGGGCGTTCCGGAAATGCGAGAAGCGTCCCTACTGAGACGAGTGGTTTTCTCGGTAGACCGGGTCCATACGCCCACAGAATCTGGGTGTGTAGCGGGAACAACCTTTTTACCTCGTCCCTGGGAGGACCGACCGCAGGGGCGAGGTAGGCCACCGTCTCCACACCGGTGTGTTGCAGACATGGCCCGTGGCCTACCCCGCAGGCGCTACAGGCCTCTTGCTCGACCTACACGGTATAACGGTTCAGAAGTAGCGTTGCTGCCCGGCCACAGGGAAGTTCTAAGATGCAGCGGTGGTTGTTGGTTTTTAACTCGACCGAACGTCGAAATAGAGACTTCTCCAGTGCACAGCAAACCGAACTGCATACTAGTGCTTGCGGATGCGTGCATGGAAGCCGGGTCACGAGGGTCACGGACGTACCACTGCATTCTCCACCAATTGGCGTCACAAGCGTGCACTTGCCATGGGCGCATTGGCTCGCGCAGTTAGGTACTTGTGGTACCCCCAGCACTATAGTGCTGGTAATAACTGGGGTTGGACATTCGTTTCGTTCAGTAGGTTCAGACGATCGGGTCCGATTTATTTTCAACCATTTTATTTCGGGCCAAACAACTGCCTGGCACATGTGCGCACATACTGCATGTTGTGCAGACAGGCTGGAGTAGGGTGGCTCCAGGCCAGCGCGCCAGCGCCCCCCCGCGCTCGAAGGACACGGACATGCAGAGCGTTGCGGAGTGGCACGTTGCTATAGCAACAGGATCAAACAAGAACCAACAAACATTCAAGCAAGGACAGCGTCGGAGTTCCCCCTGCGAACACGTCATTCCGCCATGGCTAACTTGCCTCCAGTTTTGCCAAGTTGTGTGTGCTTAGGTCCGGTAGGCGCGGGAAAAACTTTGCTTCTTAAAAAGTTAAAAGGCAACGAGGACATTGATATAACGTCAACTTCAGTACCCACTGTGGGAACCAATATCACAACTCTCCAGTTGACAAATGAAAAGGTGTGCAGTGTGCATGGTAACAAATGAGACTTACTCACATTTAAAATGTTCACTTTATTTTGTTGACACAATTTATCTTGTGTGCTATAATGCACACATGTAGCATTACTATGAACTAATTTAATCAGTTTAATCATAAACACTCCAGCAATTTGCAAAGGAAAACTTTTAAGATGAATGATTTAATAGGAAATTGTTGTTCGGGAAGTTGGAGGTGCTATGGCTCCTCTGTGGAACCTATATTACAAGAACATCACGCGAATCATCTATGTTGTTGACGCAAGTAACCTCTGCCAAATAGCAGCAGCTGGTGTCCTTTTGTACACAGTACTTGCCGAGCCCCAACTTAAGAATGCTAAGGTATTCAAACTGCCCACACAGCACATGACTTTAAGGAAAATGGCAAAGCTCCACATACTTTCCATCATTTTCAGGTACTACTAGTTCTTACTAAAATGGATGTGTCATACCGACAAATGAGAAATGAAGCCCTACTAATGTTGCAATTTGCAAGGTTAAAGAGAGAAATATCGCAGTCTGTCACTGTGATGGAAGCAAGTGCAATCACTGGGGAAGGTTTACCAGCAATCAAGGAATGGCTTGCAGGTGTAAAACCGACACCACCTGTGAAAAAGCTGATGAATTAAATACATTGTTTTAATCTAACGCAGGTCTTTTTTAAATGCAAATTTCTTCAAGGCAAGTTTTATTTTATGTGTATTGTATGATGAATGCACCACTTTTTGCATTCAGTAATACTCAACATCCAAAGTGGGAAAACTTAAAATAAATAAAGTGCTTTTTTTTTTGGGCTGGCTTGTATGAGCAGAGTTTGCGAGGCCTCATTGAATTGGTTTAATTATGAAAAGTATACAACACAGATAATTTTTCACAACATATTGGTGTGAATTGTAGCAGCTAGACAAAGCAAGTTTCATCACTTTATTAATCACAATGAAAATAATCAGGACACAGAGGCACATGACATTTCCTTAATTTAATGGTGAAATCAAGTTTTATAATGGTTGTGGGAATAGTTCATAAAATAAAGGGCTACCAAATTTAATGCCTTCATGCCTTCCGGGCAAGGAATCTAAAATGCCAGATGAAAATGAAGAAAAAAATAAAATCCAATCCCAAATGGCAGAAACTAATGTATTCGTGTCAGGTCCTCAACAATTTTCACCAAGTCTTCCACAGTGGCATCATGCTTCATGCCAGAGCCATTATCAACCTGCAATGAAACCCATTATCAAAATATGTTCATGTGATGTGATAGAAATAATAATTTGTGTTTCGGCCCAGCAATAAATACGGTGAACCTACCTGTACACCTGCCACCACTTCTTTCATTTTATCTAGACTCAGGTCAAGGAAACTTTCCACAAGGTCTCCATCAATAAATCCTTCACAGGGCTCAGTTTTAATCTCTGTGTTAAAACTGCGCCAAAAGACATGTTCAATTTTACCCACAGATTTAATCACATGGGTGAGTCTTTCTTCAACTTCATGCAAAAAATCATAAAAATCTGCAGGAATTTGAGTAACCAAGCCTGAAAGTAACCATTTGACATTATTACTGTGAAACATTAAATCAATGTTAGAAGTATTGTCAAAATATTGAAATTCACCTATTGCTCCACTGACGGTACCAAACAGAACACATCCTTGAGTTGGAGTAGAAGTCTCACCCACATGTTGCATCACCAGTGATCCATGTCGAAAAACGTTCACCATATCACCGAGGTGGAACTGACCAACTGCTTGCATCTGCTGTCTTTCTTCGTCAGTGGTGGCAGCACTGTAATTGTAACAAAGATATGAATAGTGCAGTTCTGTGAATCCGGTCAAAGAAGAATGCTCTTGAGCGTTGGGTTCATACCTGTCCTTCTGACACACAAACAAATTCATAAAGTTTTCTGCACCCAAAAATGTGTCATCGTCTAGTATCTCAATAGATGTCATCCAATTGGGATTGTAATCTCTAGCCATCTGAAAAAAGGAGGGAGCATTGAACTTAAAAATAATCCAAGGGGCCATAAAGATGTAAAGATCAGAATTTAAATATTGCGCACCTCCTCAAAACTGCCCTCCATAGTTTTATACTGAAGAAGCGTCATGGATCGCATGAGATCGCCGATTAACAGAAAGTCTCCTTTGGTTTTTAGGAATAGAGCAATGATATTGTTGAAGTGCGTACATTCCAGTCTTAGTTCTTTCTCAGCAGTCCATTCGAACAATCGAACCTGAGTTAAAGAATATACATATAAACTATCAAAGTTTAAACTGAAGCAGGTTGCAAAAATGACAAACAGCAATGCACAGTGAATCACTTACAGTACTATTGATGCTTGCTAACAACTTTCCATTAAACTCTACCAACGAATAGCAAGCACCCTTTATGTCTTTCTCATGGATTTGCAAGAGTTTATTATCTTGATATTGGAAAATAACAATTCTACCCTGCTTAGGCTCACTTTCTTCTGGATTAATCAATGCAGTTCCAACGACATAATATGTTGTTGGGTCATCTCCCAATTTGCATGACATGAGAGACATTGCATACTCAGACTGCATGAATTGGTGAGCATGAAGCACTGTCAAAAAATATAGAAAGTAAGTCTGATGTAAAAGCCGATGGATAATTAAATTTAAGGATAAATAAAGTAGCATACCTTCAAATGTATGTTGATCAATGATCAAAAGGTTGTGAACTTCCACCTCCTGGCCATGGTCTGTTGACATAGCTACAGGACCCACATTACCACTTTTGCAGAGGGATGAGCTCACGGATGTGCTTTGAGTCTGTGTGGACGCACTTGGGCGTGCCGGTTGTACACCACCACTATCCTGCACATCCATCCTCATTGTTATTACTCCAAAAGTCTGAAAAAAAAAGAGAAAGATAGAGAGAGAGAGAAAAAGGGATGGAATAAAGAAAATGATGGGAAGGTATGAGGATAAGATAAAACCAGACCTGTGAACTTTCTTGATAAGCTATTCTCCTTGCAGATTCACCCAATGGCACAGATCGAATGTGTAGCTTTTGAATTTCATCTATGGTACCAATGGTAACAGTGCTATCAGTTGCCAAAGCCAAGCTGCATAAAGATTAATGCAGTGAGTAAAATTGTATTTTGACTGAACAGTCATAAAATGCACTAAAAAAAAAAATGATTACAGTACTTTGAACTATTGCAAAAACTAACCTGTCCGGGTATGATTCTGAATTGAGAGAACACATATGATTGACCTCTTTAAGATTAACATTCGAGAAAACAAGCTTGTGATTAGAAGAGTAAATCACTGTGGGCCTGTCTGAGCAAGCAAAAACATTGGTGGTCGACAATGAGCGGAAGGTCCGTAGAACAGTAGGTTGTGTGCCAAGTGTGACCTGTGACAGAGTGTATTTATGTAACAACACAGTATGCAGTAAATTTTGCACCCATAAAAATGATATTGTTATTGATAAGGTGCCCAAGTACTTACTTTCTTCTTTTCTGTCAGAATGCCCGTTTTACTCAATGAGAAATAGAACATAGCACCATCACCTAGGGCGCATAAAAGGTAATTGCTCCCCTCAAAACATGTCATCAGAATAGACCTTGGAATAATCTCTGCAAAACAAAAAAAAAGTTGAAGTTGAATCAAGAGTGTGCCTGCAGTGGCTGCTATGTGAAGAAAAATGACATAAAATTGTTCAGTACGTACCTCCACCAAGACTTTCTCTGTTGATTTCTTCTAAATTTGGTAATCGAAGAATACGAGCAGTGATATCAGTCCAAAGACCTACAGCCACTATACTGGCTGTTTTAGCACCTTCTTGCAATGGAGTGATGTCCAAACATGCTACTTCATGTTCTAGCGTGACATGCCTATGTTCATGAAAAATAGAAAAAAAAAAGCACGGGATAAGTCTTTAAACATGGGATTGGAAGGGTCTGAAAAATTAACACACAGCATAAATGGTTACAGTTCATTACCCTTTCTGGACCAAACCACCCTCACGAATTTCAAGGTAGAACAGGTCACTTCCTGTGGCACATATGACTTGTGCAGTATTACATGCCACAACACTAATGCTCTTTTCAGATGGTTGTTTCCATTCACACACAAGCTGTTTGGTTGCAACAGAAAGAAGCCGCGCAGATGTAGGTGTAACTTGAATTATTTGATCATGATCCACATTCCCACAGTAAAATGATTGCTGATCGGACAAAAAACCAGGAATTTCGGTTTCTTCTACTTCTTCACCTGATAGTGTCAAAACCCTAATAGCAAAAAAAAGAACAAATTAAAATTATACGGAAAATAACTGAAATTATTGACAGGGTGATAGAAAATGATTCATACCTAGTTTGGCCCACAAATGCCAAAACCAATGTGTTGTCAAATCGGCTGTCAGCAGATGTCCTCAATGCCCACATTCCTTTAATACCTGGTAAATCTATGGATGCATGTTCCTGGATACCAATACCATTTCTGATAATTCGTAGAGATCCTTCTTTAAATGATCCTAAGTAAAAAATAAACAACACAAAAATAGCAATTTTATCTAAACTAGCTACTAGGTCTGAGTTAGAAAGACAACTCTTGTGTTCGTAAATATACCTGAGCAGGTGACTAGTTGTCCCTGACCCTGTCTCTCCAAATCAACCACCACCATGTCACGAATAGGTGCAAGATTAGTGAATGTTTCCATCACACTAACATAAGAACCATTTTCATCGGGGGTTTTGTTCAGTTTGATGAGTTGAGAATCACCAATGCGTGAACCAATGAACAGAACACCATTATCCAAGTACGTTATTGCCTCAGGAATGCTGATTTCTCCCAAGAGCTCAACTTTTGGTTCTTTAATGGTGAAACTTCCATCCATTCTTTCTTCCTTTTCAAGAAGCAACATGAATAGGCGTCCCGCCATATCCCCTAACAAATATCGTGATCCATTTGAGTCAACTTGGGCATAACATATAATGGTGCTTTGCTGCAGAACAATTATAATAATTTGCATTGAATCTTATACAAATTATAAAAAGATAACATACCACAACCACATTTGCACAATATATTTTACCTTGATGATTGGAGGTGCAACGGCAATTGATGTATTGCCATTGTGGTACAAAATTAATTCTTGGCCAATGACAATAGCACCACAAAGAGGTTCTGGGACAGGAATTACCATGGCTGCATCTGTTTCTACATTATCTTGCTTCCATGGAACCTAAAAGGACAAACAGATTGTCAATACAATGACTCTAACAAAGGAGGAAAAACTTGTTATGAAAGCCCGATTTACAACATGCCTTCACAAATTCTTTGTCTTTTAGAGATATTTCGTGTGTTTTGATGTGTCTTCCATGAAGATCTTGATAGATTAAAATGATAGTGGGATTCTGACACCCATGTAGAAATGCTAAATCCTGAACACTCAGTTCCTCCATTCTTATGGATGATGCCTTCAATTCGCTGTTATCTCTATCAAGAGGGATGATTTTCAGGAGCCCATCATACAGTCTGAGGCCAATGACTCTGGCTTCTGGGTCAATTACAGCAATAATGCCTGTCTCTGATGGCTTGCCGATGCGGTCAGACACATTGCCATGAGCTTTAGTGATTATTTCAAAGTTATCAGTATCTCCTTGGCACTCCAAAATCATTGCATTGTAACGTTTGGTTACAATAAATAGAAGATCCTTTTTCTCTTGCTGCAAAAAGTACAATGTCATTATTTACAAATGGACAAGTTAATGAGTAGTTTCCATATGAAAAAGATGGCCAGATATGGGATATAACTTACAGGTGGTCGAAACAATTTCATAACAGCAACTTTGCCATACAACCCAATTTCCTTGAGGGGTCTAAGCCCTTCAGGTGTAACAAGGTAAATTTCTAGCCGTGTGTTTTTGGCAAGGATAAGGTTCAAATCGTCAGGAGATGTAAAGTTACCTGAAAAACAAAAATAGTACAATATTCGTTCTCTTACAAATGCTTGTCTTTTTTAAAATCCTGTAAATAATGTGCTGAGGTGATACCATAAGGTAAACATGTTCGGTTTCAACAGAGTGCAATCAAGTCATTACTAAATGTCATTAATAAGAGCAGGTATAAAAATATGATATGAGAAAAACAACTCTGAATGAGTTGAATACATTTCAAGTGGGGTTATGAAATATCGGTTAAACAGGGTACACGATAAAGGAGACACACATTGAATGACACTGCTATAACCGAAGATCCTCAGATAAAAATTTCATGGATCATTCTCAAAATAAATAAATGACCATTCAGCCACTTCGGTAAAGATAGTGCAAACAGCACCGACAAGAGAACTCACCGGTTACACACGCTGTAACAGCGGTGGGTTTGTGAGCCGTCACAACATAATGGTGGGCCATGTTTCGGCTCATCTTTTTCACCGTTTCATCTAGGGAGAGTTTGGAACTGCTGTGGAAGGGCATGTACGCGAAGTAATGCCCCAAATACACAACTTTGTCTAGCACTCGCGCAACTCAGCTCACTCAGCTTGCCCAGAAAGAAAACAAGGCACTGCAGCAGGCCTCGCGAAGAAACAGAAGAAGAGCACGCTTCCGGTAGAGTCACAACAAACAGACGACAGGCCGGTTAGGCGACCAGAATATCTTGTTAAAACGTTGGACTACTCCACAAAAACTATGTAAGGTTTTTTGTCCAAGGAAACCCGAAACGAAACCGCGCAAGCCAAACAGTGAATTGAACCTCGGTAGATTTAAATTTCGCGGAAGTTTCAAGCTACTGTCACATGGATGAGAAATCTTCTTAGCTTTATCCTTGCACCATGAAAAATTCTGCACTGCCGAAAACACCCATATCCCAACGTGGTTTGAGTGGTTAAGTGAATCACTTTGATTTGTTTTTAACTTTGCGCCGGCTGATCAAGTTTTCAGCATGAGTGAGGCTCGTGTTCACAGAGTTCGATTTTATAATGTGGAGCCCAAAGCAATTCATTGCATGGCTTACGACCCGGATCATCGAAAAATTGCTCTCTCCAGGTTTGTGTAGATGCTTTACGTAGGTTAAGTATATATCAACATAGTCTACAGTTGGGTGCAATTTTTATAACTGATTTGTTTTATTGGAACATGTGTTTGACTGAAGCTATTTCTTTCCTCATCGTATTTAAAATAACCATTTTCCTTTTACTTTAATTTTGAGTTAGATTCGCAAGACATGTATGTCTTCGTTCGTGGAAGTGACCATGATGTGTGCTTTCTTGTTTCAGGGCTGACAGTTCAGTGGAAATATGGAATCTTTACCACACAGCATATCTAGAACAGGTCATACCCGGTTGTCCTCAGGGCTCTGTTGAAGCATTAGCGTGGTGCAAGTCTCGTTTATTCAGTACCGGAATCCATGCGAGAGTTGTAGAGCATGATCTGAAAACGTTGCAAACAAAGGTATGGTAAATCTAGCCTTCTATTTATTTCTTATCTGGTTTGGGAAATGATTCAATCTGAAATTGTTGATATTTACAGTACTCACTGTCAGTGACAGCTGGTCCAGCATGGTGTTTAGGTCTCAACCGCCAGAAGACATTTTTAGCAGTATGTATTTGTTTTTTAGCCTATGAAGATAAAGCCACATTTTAATCAACTGACCAATGTTTGCCGTGAGGGGAGAAGTTGGTGATGAAGCCATTAGCTTGCCATGCCAAAGAGTTTTCTTTCATGCAACATGTTTATTTTCTAGGTTGGGACTGAAGATGGCTACATTAACATTTTCAGTGTAACAAGTGATAATCTGCAGTATGAGAAGCTAATGGACAAACAGGAAGGTTAGTGAAATAAACCGTTCGTTCATGATATTCTATTCATTACAATAAATTTATTTCTGACATGTGTGCTTAAATTCTTTTTAATTTTAGGTCGAATACTATGTCTATCTTGGGATTCTTCTGGAGATTTTATCGCTACTGGCTCAGTGGATGCCGTGAGGGTTTGGAATGTGCATACAGGTCATGCATTGCACAAAATGACAACAGGGCGTAATGAAGCCAAAAAAGAAACTATAGTGTGGTGTTTAGCTGTCACTGATGATTTTACCATAATAAGTGGAGATTCTCGGTTAGTACTGTATCTGTCTTAAGGTCAAGATGAAGAACATATTTTCTACATTATTCTTTAGTTTTCCATTTCTTTGGCGTTCAGTGCTTCCTTGCATTCTAAGATAATTTCAAATTTCTAGCGGAAAAATTTCTTTTTGGAATGGCCACTCTGGAATCAACACAGAAACCTACCAGACCCACACTGCAGATGTCTTATGCTTAGCTTTATCAGAAGACCAATCAACCCTCTATTGTTCAGGCAAGCATCGAGTACTAACATTAAACTGACATTGATTCTGTAACCTGTACACTGACTGAACTTAAATTATTTTGTTAGGTGTTGATCCAGTAATAGCAACTTTTACAAGGATTTCTATTCGAAGCTCTGTTCAGCAAAATGGTTTGACGGGTGCTATGGGAACTAAGATAACTCCTTCCCAGCGTACTCAGTGGTGCAGGTCAGCCAAAGGGCGGATTCATGACCATGATGTTCGAGCCATGGTTGCTTGTCATGGTAAACTATGTTCAGGAGGTAAGAAGATTTGTACAAAATTTCTGTGTAATCTTGTGGCAAGGAGAGTAATTAGTAATGGTTTTCCTGCTTACATATTAGGCATAGACTCTTACCTAGCAATCAGCCGACCACCAAAAGTGCTTGTGAAGCATCCTCCAATTCCTCAAGTGAGTGCATTAATCAAACTTGTATTTTTACACTTAAGATAAATTTTGTTTTAACCAGTTGATTTTTTTCTCCCCTTTTTCAGGCTCCCTGTGTTTTGGTCTGTCCTCAGTCTCGTTGTTTGTTATTAAGAAACACATCCTCTTTAGAAGTATGGAAATTAGGTGAATCTGAGAAACGTCAGAACACTATTGTGGAAAATGGATCAAGAAACAGGTGACCATATAATTTATTTTGAATCAGTACTGCAAAATATATTTAAATTAAGACCATATTTTCTATTTCTGTTTCTTAGACAGAGGCGTCAATCTGGAGATGGTGGTTCTGCCCAGTCAAGACAAACATTCAAACAAAATGGTGCCAGCTCTTCTGGACCTCTGAGACTAGCGCAAAATCCAGTTAAAATATTGGAGCTGAAAAGTCGGAATGATGAACACATTGTGTGTTCTGCATTGTCCAGTGATTCTAAGTGGTTGGCCTATTCTACTGATTCTTTAATCCGCATTTACACCCTAAGTTATGTTAGTTTCTTCTCAGATCTAATTTATTCAGATTGTGATGAGGTTTGACACTTTTCTCTGAAACGTTTTTGAAACAATTACAGGAGGATGATAACAACCCAACACTTGAAAAGGTGGCACCTCTCCCAGAAGAATGTGTTCCCTCTCATCGCATGAGATTCTCCTCCAATAATTGTAGGCTTGTCACTGTTACTTTAGATGGACAAATAGTGATATTTGACTTGACTGCAAATGAACCCTCTGTTACCTTTAGTTGTGCTTTGGATACAACTAATTACTTAAAAGGTGCTGTGCACTTATTAGAAATTTCTGAGGACCAAAATCTCATCATCACTGGTGATCATGAGAGTAATATTGTTGTCTGGAAAGAAAATAAGGTAATGTCATTTTGAAAATTCAAGGATAGATTGAGTTTGAGAAATTTATAATGTAAGTTCATTTGTCTTTGTTATTTTTTAGGTTCACTGCTCCCTCCCTCACTACACATGTGGTCCATCAGCACTTAGTATCAGCTCATGTTCCAAATATATTGTAGTTGTTTATATTGACAACCTGGTAGGAAACGCTTTTTGAAAATGTGTGCTTGTATTGCTTTCTGTTTGTGTTGGCTAACAGTGGTCGCTCCTTTGTGCACAGATTGTAGAATACAGTATCCAGGATAAAAAATTGACGGACTTCTCAAGAAAACTGCAACACAAGCTCCCAAATGAGTGGATGGCGCGGCCGTTCCCGGTCCTGAATGTGTGCTACGACCCCCGGGACTCTAACAAGATCATTATGCACGATGACAGCACGATCTGCGTGTTAGACAAGTTGAAGGTGAGTCCCATGCGGTTTCCCTTTCGGAAGTGCTCCAGGCGCCTTTCAGCGACATTTCTACCGCCTCGTCTGCAAAGGGCAGCATTCCTCGAGAGGTTTCTTTTCATCCCACTCAGAGGCCAGCACGCCCGCGCCACTCTATCTCGGAGGCTGCATGAAGGCTTCCCCCCTCCCTGCCCTGCCCTCTGCCTCTGCCTCCGATATTTACATCAATATCCTGCGAGGGCAGCACGCAGCAACGCAGCATGCCCCCTGGTACCCCTCTCCCCTGGCACCCCTGTCCTGTCCCGTCGGAGCTCTTTGGCCGGCGTCGCGTCGTGTCGCGTTTCCACCCCGCCCCCTCGGGGGTGGGGGGGTGGGGGTGTAAGGGCGCCATGTCCGGCTGCTGACAAGATGATATCGTAAGTAGACGCCCGACCCTCCCCCTCGCAATCCCATCCCCTTGACTTGTTCGCGTGCAGTCAGGCCGAACGGGGCGAGTGGCCGGGGGAGGGGAGGGGAGGGGAGGGGAGGGGGAGGAGCAGCAATCAGACAGCACACTACATTGAGCAGTGTCGACTCGACGCCTTACGACCAGCAGCACCAGCAGAGCCACTGTCTGGCCTGCCTCGGCCCCTGCCTCGGCCGTCTCTCTTCCTCTCTCTCTCGCTCCTCGCTCCCTCGCTCCCCCAGACAGACCCCCTGCGCCCTGCCTCGCTCCCTCGCTCCCCCAGACAGACCCTCTGCAGAACACTGCCGGTCGCGTCCGCCGCTACAATCATGTGCCCACTCCTGCTGTATCGCCAGGCCGCCACGCGTAGGCGCACATTGTGCGGACATGCGGGTATTCGCAAACGGGCACCGTCGTCGTGCGTCGCGCACTTGTTGTCCGGGCCAGCAAGCACCGGCGGGGCTAGGCGGGGCGGCGGCAGCGATCGTTGCTCGGACCCTTGGTCGGTCCCGGCGACTGTGCCTGGCCTGGTCTCGATGCCGGACAGTGCGACGTGAGCGAGGCACGAGGCAGGCCACGGCTTTAGGACTCAAGCCACGGCAGGCCGGGCAGGCCCCACAGGCTAAGGTCATACCACAGGCTGGAGGGCCCTTTGGAGAGCCCTTCGGAGGCCCCGTGTGGCAGGGCGCGCCGGGGCATGCCGGGGCACGGGTGCTTTGTCGACAGGGCGGGCATCCGGCTTCATTGTGTGATTCAGAAGCAAAGCAGAGCGCCCTGGCTCCACCCCGGCCTTCCCGTTTTCCCTGCTGGACCGTCCGCTTGGCCTGCTGGCCGCCCTCGTCGTCCTCATTGAACAAGCCCCGAACGCGGAGCGCCCTTCCCCCGTCGACAGTCGTGCTGTCCTTGGTGCTGTCTGTCCGGACGCTCTCATTGAACAAGGCCCAAACGCCCAACACCCTTCCCCTGTCGGCAGCCGTGCTGTCTGTCTGGACCGCCCCGCCCCGCCCCGCTGAATGGACTGCCCCCGCCGCACCGCGCACCGCGTCGCAATGCGTCGCGACGGCGTCACGCGAGGACGCCGCGCCGCGACATGTCAGCAGGTTGCATTATGCAGCAGAATGCAAACGCTCACTAATTGTGCGTCGTATGCATGAATTCTCCCCCCCCCCACACACACCCACACCCACACACGCCTTTCCAGCGCTCCCACCCTCCGCCCCTCACCCCTGCCCGTTCCGCGCCGCTGTGCCGACCGCAGCGACCGCGATGTGCACGTTGATTCCAAGCGGAAGGTCATCCTTTCTTTGTCTCTCTACCTCTCATGCGGCGTTCCTTGTCGGCGCCACGACCTGCACCACCCGCAGGCCCACTGGAAGCACTGGAACCTGGAACGGAGCGCAGCATGCAGTGCGGCCGCGCTCTCGAGACTCAACGGTGCGCGGGGCACACACTCCACGCCCCACCTGGAGCGCCCCAAGCGCCCCATGCAGCCCCATGCTCCGAGGCGGGCTGCGGCGTGCCGTGCATCACGACTGGCTGCCCTCCTAAACAAGGACGATCGATCGGAAGAGTGCGTCGCGGATTGCGACGGCATGCCGTGCCGGGGCAAAGGGGCGGTGACATGGCAAATCAAACGCCAAACCGCCAGCCCGTCCGTTATCCGTTACAATAGCGCGGTGCGCGGTGCACTTGCAGTGCCAGTGCCCCATGCAAATCCATCTCCCCGTTGTGCACTGTTGTTATACGCCGCCGCCCCGCCACCCTCCCCCCGGATTACCGCCAGCCAGGTGGCGGGGCGGGGCGGCGCGGTGCGGCGGGCGGAAGAATATCGGCAAACAGCGGGGCCCGACCCGGACCGGCCCGGACCGGCCTGGACCCGCTCGGCTCGGCGGGGTCCTTCCAGGCTGGGACGCAATTGCGCCGTTTAGCGGCAACGCAAACACAGCCGTGCGGATTATTGTCGGCGGATCGCGTTGCCGCGGTGCGTTGCCGCGGAACCGCCCACGCGATCATAACGACGAAACGATGACCGACTGGAAATGGAGGACGTAATGGGCGGTCGGGGCGGTGCCCCTTTTTCGTGTGTCGACGTGCACGTGCACTGCTCAACGCTCAAGCTGACCCTTTTTCTTTACAGAAAATGGCGCATCCCTCCGCCAAGATCCCCCGCCTGGACCTGACCCTCAAGAAGTACGGCGCCAAGGAGGAGGGGACGCACCCCGGCACCAGCAGCGCCGACCACACCTTCCGCCTCATCAAGTGCTACAAGGTGAGCATCAGCCCTGTTCTTTTTTATCGGTCCCGTGGCGTCATCTCATTGTGTGTTCACTTGTGCATCCCAGCATCTGGTGTTCTTCGGCTGGCTGGCCGGTGACGAGGTGGTGGCCGTCGAAGTGGAACCGCTGCATCTGCTCAAGCAGCTGCCGCCGGCCCTGTACAAGAAGATGTTCGGCGTGTGATGAGTCGCACGAGGCGCGGGTACGTCGCGTGGACGTCGCGTGGACGGAGGGCGAAGTGAAGTGCTCACCGTGGAAGTCGAAGGCGCGCCCGGCGGGCCTGGCGGGCCTGGCACGCCACTTCTCCTTGAGGGTTTGAAACGGGATGCCGCCCTTTGCCCTCTTCCCCAGCCGCAGTGAACGGAGAGCCCTCGAGCACTCGTACTGAGTATCTTCTCTAGCCGCCAGCACCGCCACGTCCTCGTCGGGCCGCGTCGTCTCACTTGTCCGCCCTCGCCCTGTCAGGTGGCCGCGAGCCGCCGCGCCGCCGCGCCGTCTGAGACGCCCGGGAGGACTCGCCGACGCCCTCGACATCGTGAGTGGAAGGAGGGGAGCGGTAGAGCGGCCTTGTCTGGCACGCGGCAGATACCATCTCGATGGCGCCGACAGTCGAAGGCGAAATGAATCCAAACAAGTATTGCTGTGACAATAAAATCTTATTCTATCAAAATGTGTCTAAAAGCTAATATGGTTCCCGCCCTGTCTCAACCAAAGTGCATAAAAAAAGTGTCCACTGACAAACACACTAGTAAAAGAGAACACAGTAGAAATGACTCAGACGGCAGACATAAATTTGAAAGTAGCAGCGAGGGGCTGCTTCGCTCGGCTTCGCTGCTCCGACGAAATGGCGGCCCTCTCTGGGGCGGCCCGGCCAGGCCCGGCGTGGCCATACTCCGCGACGAAATGGCCGCGCCGCGGGTAGCGTCTGCAGTCTGCGTCGCCCAGAGTGGGGTATTTACGGACGACGATTCTTTTCGCTTGGTGTGGAGGCCACCCCCGCGCCGCCGCGCCCCCGCGCCGGACGCCGACTAGACTACCCCAAGAAGATGAACGACTGTCTGGTCCGGGGGACGTCGCCGGGCGCCTCTGGGGGGTCGATCGTCCGCAGCGGCGACTTGTAGAGCGCGCCCACACGCTCCAGGGTCAGTTCCGGCTGCGAGGACCGCCACCCCACCAGCCCTGCAAAAGGAACGGCCCCAACGGGTGTGTCAGTCATGGCTGTGGAGGCGGCCAAAACTCCAGACGCGTTTTGAGCTCTAGAGTCGCTAAATGGGACTCGAACTGAACCTGTCACCCCACCAATGGCTTGTTCTCCGAACGAGGAATCCAGTGGTGGGGTCACTCGTTCGGTATGAGTCCTGTTTAGCGACCCTGGAGAATTTTGGCCGCTTCCACCTTCCACCGGCCTTCTGGCTCACTGTTGGCCGTGTACAGTGTTGGAAATGATAGGCACTGCCCAGCCAGGCTGGCCTCCAGGCTGGCCTACCCGAGCTGAGTCTGGGGATGGGCGGCGAGGGCAGCACGGCGTCGACCAGCTTGAGCGTCCGCGGCTCGGCCCGCAGCCCGACCCGCCGATGGTCCACGTCGGCGGCCGCGGCCTCCTGCTTGAAGGCCTGCTCCTGGTCGGCCAGGAAGCCCCACTTCCGCTGCCACGTCTTGCGGGTCAGCTCCTGCAGCTGCACCTTCTCCTTCCTGGAGGCAATGAACGCGAAGCGCGCGAAGCCATTCAGTTTGCAGTTCTCACGGCAATTCGGAATGCGGCGACAAAAGCCTCTCCACTCGCCACCGCCGCCGCACTCGTGGACGGCCGTGCGCGCCGTGCTCCAAGGGGCTGTTTCCCATCAATTCGAGTGTCGAGTGGGGTGTTGCCGTGCGGCCTGCGGGGCGGAGGGGAGAGGAGGGGAGGGGAGCCAGCCTGCGAGGGTGTTCACCCTGCGCCAAGCGCCGCACTCCGTACGCCCAGCGCCGCGCCAAGCACCAAGCGCCGTACGCCAAGCGCCACGCCAAGCGCACCGGCCCGGGGCATTAGCTTGCAGGTGTTGCCTGATGGAGAAGCAAGGCCCCGCCCCGCCCCGCCACCCCAGCCTCCGTCTCCTTGAGATTCGCCCTTCTCGACCCCGTCATGGCCGGGGCGGGCCGGGCCGGCCCCTCCCTCCCTAGACGGTCCACATTTAGCCCGAACCGGTCCCTCGAGGCAACCGGCGAGCGCCAAAGGCCCTTCCCTTCCAGGCGCGAGCGCGCGAGCTGTGCTTGGCGTAAGCTCCGGTCGTGCCGTTGTAGTACCTGAGGCAGTATGCGCAGCCTGCGCAGCTGCGTCGCCAACCGCAAAACGACCCTCCCAATGTGAATGTGTGTGGGTGTGCGGCAACAACACTCAGTCCAGATCGGCGAGGCGGCGTGGCGGTGGGAACTAGCGGCTTCGGTCTCGCAGCATTACGGCCTTGACGGCCTCGGGGGCCAACTTTGCGCCACATGGCGCGTTGCTTGACTCGGCGTCGCCCGGCGTCGCCGCAAGTTGTTGCGCGATAAAGAAAACGGCTGCGGCCGAGCACGCTGTGCTGTGCACTGTGTGTAGTGTATAGTACACTGGCTGGTACTCACAGGATGCCGTCCTGCAGCACCTTGTTGGCGTGGCCGCGCCCGGCGTGCGGCCCGACGCCCAGGGTGTCGCGGTCCTGTTGACGCTCGGCCAGCGGCGCGGCCAGCGACATGCGCTTGGCTGCCTCCTGCAGGATGTCATCGCGGTCGCCCTCGCCCTCCCCCGCCAGCCCCGCCACGGACCCCCGCAGCCCCGCCCTAGAGCCCCGCGGGCCGCCGCCGCGCCCCTCCGCGGTCGCCAGGGTGTCCAGGGTGGTGGTGCTGGCGCCGGCCGAGGGGCTGCCCTCCCCCGGGGAAGCCTGCGCTGCCGCTGCCCGCGCCGCCCGCGGCCCCCCCGCCGGCCTCTCGACACCCGCCCCCGCGATTGGAGCTGGCGCTGCTAGCGCGCCGGGCCCCGGAGTCCGCACCGTCACTGCCAGACGCTGCCCCGGCGACAACGCCAGCCATCTGCAACAGAAAGCGCACCGCCGGGCCCGTCAAAAGAGGTGCCACGCTGCAGTGATGGCCTGCCCCTGGCCTGCCCCCGGCCTGGCCCCGGCCTGCCCGGTACTCTCTGCGGCCCCGAAGGCTGGAAGCTGGAGACCGAAGGTCAGCGTATCAACCCATCCCGCGTCCGTCCGCCAGCCCCCCCCCCCATCAAAATCACTCGCACCGACCACGCTTCTCCCTGCGACCGGTTGCTTACAGGAGGCGGTCGTGCATTTAACATCTCAAGCCCCGATTCTTTTACCGCGGAGGCTCTCGGCCCTCGGAGCGAAGGTTTTAGTCTGATTACTGCTTGGGCCCTCGCAATTTTTGATAAGCGCGTGGGTTTCTGTCCTCCAGCCGGATTAACGTGGAGCCGAGAGCACCGCGAGCTTGTCGAGTCCCTCCACCCCGCTCCGCCCACCGTCAGACATTCCATTCCTGGAATATTTTTGTTCCGCGACGCGACGCGACGTGGCTTTATTGCAGCGAAAGTAACCAGCCCCCCTCCCACATTCCCCGATCACGTCGACAGTAATTGGGGGAGCTGTCCTCTGGGCGGCATCCGCTGCGCATAGGCCTATTTCGCGCACCAAAGCCTCGGCAGCCTCGTTCGTCTCCTTCTTCCCCGCCCGCCACTGTCTGAAACACATTTTTCCGCAATCGGGGAGTCTGGCCGCAGCGACGCGGTGTGCGGACCGGTGCGTTCTCTGCGGGCCGCCGCTCTGCCGCTCTGCGTACGCCGGGATTTCCTCTTGCGGACAAAAGAATCGTGTCTCCGCATTGCGTAGCGGCGAGTGCCTTTACTGTGCTGGGGCGCACTGCACCGCACCGCGGGTCGCTCCGTCCCTCCCACTCCCTGCCACGGCGGGGCGGGGCCATCAGCGGCGAAGCAGCGATTCTCCGGAATCAGTCGGCTGGTCGGTGCTGGGACACGCGCCGTACCGCGCGGCGTACCGCGGGGCGTACCGCGGGGCGTACCGCGGGGCGTACCCACCGTGGGCGCGGGCCTCGGCGCGGGGCGGGCCGGGGGGCGGGGGTGCAGCCAGACATGTCGGTGGAGGGCGGCGCGGCGAGAGTGGGCGAGGGTGGGCGAGGGTGGGCGAGGGCGGCGGTGCGGGGCCGCCTGCCGGCCTGGCTGTGCCTGGCTGCCTGGCTGCCCCTAGTAACGTCGCCTAGCAACGAGACAGCGAGACGTCAGCACAGTGCTGATTGCTTCCCTGCCCTCCGCGCCAGCCAGCCACGCCTGGCCACGCCAGCACAGCCCTTGGTGTCCGGGAGGCGCGGAGCGGCGAGCGTGAGCATACTGTCCTCTCCTCTCCGTCGCACACGGCGCGCCACACACGGCGCGCCCCCCGTGTGACGTACACGGCGGCGTGGCGTGGCGCACCGCTTCGCCGTGCCGCCACTCCGCCGGTCGAGCGGTTCGAGTCGGAGGTTGGAGCCAGCCCCAGCCGCAACGCCGCAACCCGCAGTGCAAATTGGTTGCCGGGACCGGGGAATGCCGGGCCGGGCGATGCCGGGCGGTGCCGGGCGCGCTGCACGTTATGCTGCTGGATTAGGGACCTTGGACCTCACTCCAGCCACCTCACTGGTAGCCAACGAATGTGACGTCATATTCGTTCGGATGTGAATTTTGTCACGTTCGTTTGAATATGATGTCATATTCGTTTAGATGTTGATCCACGTTCAAACGAATGTGACACCCTACTTTGACGGCTGAGTCACGTTCAAACGAATGTGCCATCATGTTCAAACGAACGAGGCAAAATTTACACTCCAACGAATATGACGTCACATTCGTTGGCTACCAGTGCTGCAGACTGATTCCGAGAGTCGTTTTCGTCGCTCTGTCTCTCTCGCATCAACGCGGCACGCCCCACGAGTGCGAGAGAGACAGAGCGACGAAAGCGACTCTCGGAGACGGTTTGCTGGCACCGCCGTCACCAGGTCAGCCAGCCGCGACCGTTCGAGGGGTCGCGAGCCGCGAGCCTCAAAGGGGCAAAGGCAAAGGGACGCACGACAACGACTCACCCACGCCCCACGCCCTTCCAGCTGGCCGACGACGACGACGACGACGACGACGACGACGACGACGACGACGACGACGACCAGGGCCGTCCCGGGCTGTCCCGGACTCTTCACTTCACGCTGCGCTGCACGCGGCCCGCGCACCGAGCCGCCCGAGCGCGTCGCCAGCAGGGGCGCCTCTGTGCCGCCGCCGCCGCCCTCGCCGCCCTCCCCCAGCAGGCCTAGTGCCTTGCAGCGCCCAGCCGTGCAGTGCCTTGCAGTGCCGTGCCGTGCAGCGCCGTGAAGCGCTCACCGCTGGGAGGGGCGGGCGGCGTGCGGGGTTTCAGGTTGACCGCGCGAGCTAGTGTGGGAGCGCGGCGCGGCACGGACAAACAAACCCCCTTTGGGTTGTGGCCAACCGCGCTGTAATTTGGTTTTCGGAGTGGACCTCCCTCTCCCGGTTTGACTCTCATGTGGTTGGTCCTCATCTAGCGCAATCTAGCTCAGTGCTGGCGGGCGTGGCGCGCAAGGCGGCGCAAGGCGAGGACCGGGCGGACTAAGTACATACAGGGGCGGGCCACTGCGGCCCGTCAGTCCGTCAGTCTGACAGTACAGTATATCGGTCCTATCGGTGTACCGCCCGACCGGCCGAGGCTCGGGCCGAGGTCCTCTTTGCCGTTTTCGCTGGTCCCTTCCCTGGTCCGTCCCGATGACGTTGCGACGCGGTGCGGCGTTGCCCGCGTCAGACAAGCTTGCATACAGTGCGGCTGCGGCGGAAAGGGGGGACAAAGCAGCACGTTTTGCCTACCTTTCAGGCAGCTATCTAGGGGTTATGGGGGAGGGGAGGGGGGCTTTCGGAGTTCGGGGTGGAGGGAGGTGAGGTCAGGTTCGGGGTAGATGTAGTGCGCGTTCTAAACTTTGCTCTTTTAAGACCATGATCTACATGGCAAGTTGCGAGCCCCTCCCTGCTTTCCGCTGCTTTCCGCCCGGCCGCGCCGACGTCTTTACAACGCCAGCTGCCAAGCCAGCCATGCACCCCCCCTCCCCCCTCCAGGCGTGCGCGGCAAATTCAAAAGCACGCCTTTGTTTCGTGGCGCTTCGGCCCGGCGGATGCGGCTGAAAAACGACTGATGGCGATACCGTACGGCGCGCTGTGCGCTGCGAGTGGTGAGGCGTGAGGGCCGTGAGGGCCCGCCTACCTGGAACCGCGGGACCGTCGCCATGGCAACGCCGGCAGCACGGATAATACGTAGAACAGGGAGCCGGCCCGGAGTTGGAGCGCATTCGGCTGGTGCGGGCCGGAAGGGAGTGCCCAAGGGAGGGACGAAGGGCGTGCCGAAGAAGGTGCCGGAGGGAGTGCCGAAGGATCAGTTTAAATCCCGCGGTCGCTGGCCGAGAGTCTCGCCCTGCACGAGACACCCTTTGTTATGGGGAGCCGAAAGCCTGGCCGAGACCGCGGTTGTTGTGGTATGCGAAACCGAAAGGAACCCAGTCCTTCTAATCCGCACACACCGACACGCATACACTCACACCCCTACGCACACACTTTCTCAGACACACATACTCACACGCAAACACTCACACCCTTGGACTGACTGATGGGAGGGGTGCGGGCATCACACTAGACCTCTTCGATCTGTGTGCGTGTGCGCGCTCAGCACGGAGCGGCACGGAGCACCGGGCCGGCGATGGTGCGGGCGAACTTTGGCACAGCAGTGTGAAGTTGGCGCAAGCGTGCAAAACAGCAGCAAAGAATGAATGATGCGAAATAAAGTCGGAGGCGGCGAAACAAGCCGGAAGGGGCGGGGGGATGTTTTCACGCGCCTGACGTTTGGTGGGTCCAATCCTCGCGTTCGCATCGCGTTCTGGAACTTGGAGGTTCTTTCATGGCGACGCAGGGCAGGCGTGTGCAGCCTCGCAAGCCTCGCTAGCATCGCTAGCCTCGCTCCACGCCGGTCCATTATGCATCCGCCGCGCTTGTAATATGGATGTCAGTTCCTCGTTGAAAATGCATAAACCTGGCGTGAGCAGTGCCGCCATCTCTGCCGCCGAGTCCGGCCGCCTCTCGGGCCGCCTCCTCTTCGTCGTCCTCGTCCTCGTCGGAGCGCTGCACGCTGTGTTGGCGGCGGAGGGCGCCTTGGGTGGCGGTGACGCCGGGTGACGCGCATGCCCGCGTCACCCGTCACACAGACTGATTCCGAGAGTGGTCTCTCTCTCACACACACTCATGCGGTGTCGTGTCCCATGTGGGTGCGAGAGAGACAGAGCGACGAAAATGACTCTCGGAGTCGGTCTGGCTGCTCTCGTCCATCGTCCTGTCTTCGTGCCAGAACAAAGCGCAGGGTAGTCGACGCGGGTCTCAGCGCCTCGCGCCGTCGCGCCGCGTGGGGCAAGTCGCACGCAGGGAGTCGGGGCGGGGCGAGGCGGGGTGGGGTGGGGTGGGGTGGGGCGGGGTGGGGCGGGGTGGGGCGGGGTGGGGCGCAGGGCGCGGCCCCTCGCCGGCAGGCAAGGCAGTCCGGCAGGCAGTCCGGCTCTCAGCGATGCGCCCCGACTGCATGTCCGCGTTGAGGCTATTGGGTGCATGCAGCGGACGGGCCACATAGCCAGCGCTGGTTCCATGAAGTGCGGCAGTCGCCCTATCACTCTCGCACTCATGGCATGTCCTGTCCCGTGTGCGTGGGGGAGACGGACCAAGGGCCGGGCCGCGCCGAATCAGCCTGCAGTTCCTGGGGCGCTGGGGCCCTGGGGCGGCGAGGGCCGCGCAAGCGGAAGGAGCGGCAGCGGCAGCGCGGCGCGTATCGGGTCGCATTGTGTTTCGGGACAATAATGCCGTCGCCGGAGTCCGAGGCCGCGGGCACCGGGGCCGTTCGGGGCCGTCCGGGGCACAGGGGCCTCGGCGACGACTAATTAATGGCCCATTCGGCACCGCGCGCGCCGCGCGCCGCCCGCGCCGCTATGGCACGCCATCGCCCCGATGTAATGCGTCTAAGTGGATTGACTGGCTCGGCGGGCCCCGCTGCCCGGCGATACCCAGGTTGTAAACAGCGACACGGGGTGCTGGGTGCTGCCAGGAAGTCGTAAACAACAACTTCGGGTCGCGCTGCCGTCGTGTCGCGCTAAGAGAAAAGGGCGGGCTGCGTGCTGCCATGGCACTTCCACGCCACTGCCACGCCACTGCCATTGCAACGGCACTGCGCTGGTGTCGCGGCGGCGGTGGTGAGGCTCGCCCATGATCGCAGGGGAGGAGCAGTCGCTGGTCGTGGGCGTCGTGGGGTATGGTGGGGCGGGGTGCGGTGTGGCCGACGACGTCGTCGCGCTGCTAGCGAGTTCATCCGATCGCACTGCCGCACTGCCGCACCGCCGCACCGCCGCACCTGTAGGAAAGGGGATGGAGCGATGCTTTTGTGCGCCGTGTCGCCTTCGCCGCCCCACGCCGCCCGCGCGGCCCCGCGTCGCCCCGCGCCACCGGCGCCACCCCAGAGCGCGGTGCGCGCTCTCCCTGGAGATAATGCCGGCATGGGATCCTGGAAACAAACAGATCCACACCGGACCCGCCGCGCCGCCGCCGCCGGATGAAAGTTGCCCCCGCACTGATTGGGGTCGGCGTGGGCGTGGGCGGTGGCGCCGGTGGCTCGTCGTGGCGCGGTGTGGATCTGCTTCACTGTTTTCAAGACTCCAGGCCGGCTTCATTTCCAGGAAGAGCATGGAGGGGGCGACGCCAAGGCGCGCCAAGGCGACACGGCGCAGAGCGGCGCCCCGCACGACTCTGAAGCGGCAAGCCGGCAAGCGGGCAAACGTGGTGGCGCGGCGCCTCCCCCGCGTCCCTCCATTTCACGCCCCGACCGTTATCCAATTTGATGCTGATTCAAAGCCAACGGGAAGCCAAATTGAAATTATTGCGAGTGCAACATCTGAAAGGCCCCGCCGGCAGCAGCCTGTCGGCCCGCGGGAGAGAGGGAGGGGGGAAGGGATATGATGACGCAGCTGCAGAGCTGCCATGGCACAGCTCGGGAAAACAACCTTCGCTTGGCGCGCTGTGCGCTCGGCGCTGTGCGCTCGGCGCCCCCATTGGAAAAGGGAGCATACTGATGGCGCGGTCTGTAGCCCTGTGTGGCTGAGGCTCATTTAGGGCGCTTCTTCTCTTCCCCCCGCCCGGCCCCGCCCCGCCCCGGCCCACCCCGCCCCGCGCCGCCCGCGTCTCTCAATCGGCTGCGGAATTAGCACCGACGTTTTTGTGCGCTTCTTTATGGGTCCGGATTACTCCAGCTTGACGAATCGCTGCCGCAGCGGGGTGTTGCCGCGAGCGTTGCCGCGAGCGTTGCCGCGAGCGTTGCCGCGAGCGTTGCCGCGAGCGTTGCCGCGAGCGTTGACGCGAGCGTTGCCCAGCAGAGCATCGCCCCGGCTGCGGGCTCTGCCAAGGGCTCTGAGGTGCCCTTTCCCAGGCCCTGGTGCCGCACGGGGCGTTGGCCTGTCCTCCACCGCCCCGCCTCGCAACTGGGTAGTCATGACAGTTTTTACGACGCAGGGTCCCCTGCAGGTTCCCCTGCAGACGACCCGGCCCGGGACCCTCTGCATCGCTCTACGTTGTAAGGCCGCGAACTGCAGCCCCCTCCTAGTCGCCGCAGTGCAGCTTGTCCTAGGAGTGCCGAGTGGGCCGCGGCCTCGGCTGTCACATCAGTGCCAGCCCGCCGCCTCGACTCCTGGAGTGCAAAGCGTCGTCGCGTCGTCGCGTCGCTCTTCCCCCCGCCGGCCGGACTGCCCCGGGCTTACCCCGAGCTTACACCAGCGGCCCAGGGTTACCCGGCCTGCGGCCTTTGGCTGCCTTTGCCCGGCCGTAACTTACCCCGACGGGTTAATTGCAAGACTTCCCTCGGTCCTCGGCCTTCGGCTGGGCTGGGCCTTCGGCTTCCCTTCGGTCGCCGAGCGTCGAATTTCATGAAGGACGCCGAAGTGGCGTCCCGGCGCCCTCCGCCTGCCCCCGCCTTCTCGGCCGCGCCTTTGACCCGCCAATCGACCGACGCCGCGCTCGCCGGCTCTTCGATGCGGAGCAAGACCGGAGCAATAATGAAGCGGGAATGAAGCGAAAATAAGAATGAATTAAGCAAGAATGAAGCGATATCGGAGCGATGTAGCGAGCCCAACATGGCCCAACGAAGCGAGAGCCGCCACCGGCACCGCGCCTTTGAGGCCCTTCGTCTAACCAAGTTATAATCCGCGCGCCGGGGCCGTAGCCAGAATGCTCCCTGAACCCAGGCCGCGAGGCGAGGGCCGCGACGGCCGCGGCGCGCGGCGAGGTCGTCAAGTCCGTGGTCGTTGCCGTCGCGCCGCGAGCGCCAAGGGGCCAGGGCCGCCAGGGCCTCACCTCGCCGTGTTTTCCGTCCCCCTTTCGCCTTTGCCCGACGAGAGGCCAAAGACGCAGCAACAGCGCGATGCGCAGGTGCACGGCACTTGATAATGAATCGCGTCTGGCGGGGAGGGGCGGGGAGGGGCGGGGGCGAGTTAGACCAGACCTACCCTCGGCGGCGCCGTGGCGGCGCGGTCCGCGAAAAAGTCACCCCCCGGCGGCAGGAAGGGCCTCCAGGGAGGAGGGAGGGGAAACAAATCTCGAGTGGCGGCGGCGCCCCTCCCGCCCCTCCCGCCCCTCCCGCCCCTCCCGCCCCTTCCGCCCCGGACCCGACCACCGCCGGTTTATTTCGGTCGGGTGGGCGGCAATGAAACGGCCGGGGGAATATTTAAGAGAAAATGCCGCAAGCGGCCGGCCGGGCCGACGGCGTGCCTCTGTCTGGGAGGCCCTCGGGGCGCGGCCTGCGCAGCAGAGCCTCTCCGCTGACCACGCCGCCACGACCACGGCCCCGGGCCGGCGTATGGCACGTCTTTGACGAGGCTAGGAATCTCCGGGGACGCTGCAGGAGAGAGAGAGAGAGAGAGAGAGAGAGAGAGAGAGAGAGAGAGAGAGAGAGAGAGAGAGAGAGAGAGAGAGAGAGAGAGAGAGAGAGAGGAGGGGGGGGGGGGCTGAGTGCCGTCGTGTTTTGCAGCTAATAAAGTTGAAACTTCCACATGTGCCGCCACGCCTGCCTGCGCCTCCCGCGCCGTGTAGCCCGCCAACTACTCGGGCTTGGGGGGCAAGCACCCCGACGCACCCCGCACCCCGGCCGTCAAGGTGCCTTACCCCAGCCCCCGCGCCTCGGGACCGCGCAGTGCGCTCATCGCGTGCAGTTCGAGTAGTGCGTGCACGGCCCCCGGATCGGATTGGGCCGGGCAGTGGCGCGGTGGTGGCGCAGCCTGCAGCCTCCCTGCAGCCTCCCTGCAGCCTCCCTGCAGCCTCCCTGCAGCCTCCCTGCAGCTCCTCAGCCTCCCTGCAGCCTCCCTGCAGCCTCCCTGCAGCCTCCCTGCAGCCTCCCTGCAGCCTCCCTGCAGCCTCCCTGCAGCCTCCCTGCAGCCTCCCTGCAGCCTCCCTGCAGCCTCCCTGCAGCCTCCCTGCAGCCTCCCTGCAGCCTCCCTGCAGCCTCCCTGCAGCCTCCCTGCAGCCTCCCTGCAGCCTCCCTGCAGCCTGCCGCCCGGCGTCACACGGTTCTGCGGAAGCGCCCGCCAAGTAGGCAATAGGCAGCCCGCCGCGCACGTCTGTCGAGCACTGTCTTGTTGCCTACCTCGCAGGCGCTCTCCGCGCTGCTGCTGCAGCCTCAGCGTTCAGATACGCTTCTGAAATCTAAGCGGCTGAGTGCCCCAAATATTCTTGTGAATTATGGTTAAATCATTTCAAGTCTGAAGAGCGTACTCGTGTGAAAAAGGAAAGAGTTAAATTGAAGCGAATACATTTAGGAGACAAGCCCCTACTTTATTGAACTATAGCAACCAAAACGATGATGTATAGTATATACAGGTACACTCTCGTAGCCAGTTACAGACAAATCACAAAGTACACTTTACCATTAAGAAAACAATGCAATATTCGGGACTAGTTTCAGACTCAGGTCGACTGGAGGGGGGGGGGGAGGGGGGCAACCCCGCATACACAGTTCAAAATTTCAACACAATCCAAAAACGCATGTACCGGGGCAACATGTGTGGCAAATGCGCTAGAAATCTTGCACGTTCTAGCATATCCCCACAATCATTTTACACAAACTTTTACAAAGGGTGACCCATCGGGCTGAGTAGACCGGTGACGGCTCCAAGGCCGTAAACACGCGCACACACACACACACACACACACACACACACACACACACACCAAGAGACGCGTGCATACACGCCCTCAGCGGCAGTTCGTTTTGGACAGAGTGTGGGAGCCGGTGGAGGCAGCGGAGAGGGATGACGGGCGGACGGGCTCTCTGCGCGCCTCGTGCCGCTGCCCCCATCCAGGTCGGCCAGGCGCCCTGCACAAACAACAATGGGGTCAACACACATGTTGGCAGGACTGCATGGACGTGGAGTCTCGCCATCAGCACAGTACACACACCTTGCAGGCAAGCTGAGGCCGCGCGTCGGCGCGGCTGGACCAGGGGCTGGACGATGGGCCGGACTAGGAGTTGGACCATGGGCTACGGACCAAGGGCTGTTGGCTGGCCATGGGCTGGACCAGGGGCTAGACCAAGGGCTGGACCAAGAGCTGGACCATGGGCCGGACCATGGGCTGGACCATGGGCTGGACCGGGAGCTGGACCGCGGGCTGGACCGCGGGCTGGACCACGGGCTGGACCACGGGCTGGACCATGGGCTGGACCAGGAGCTGGACCACGGGCTCGACCTGGACTGGATTGCCGGCCCCGGCAGCGCGACGATTCCCGGTCTGGGGGTGGCATCGATGGGTGGACGGCGTCTCGGACGGCGTCTCGGACGGCGTCTCGGACGGCGTGATGGTCCCGGCCGAATCGACCACTCGCTGGAACCACCTTTGGCAATCCTCAAAATACTGTCACGTCCCACAAATTGTGCCCGGGAATGAAAATTGTAGAGTATCAAAAGGCATGCCAACCTTTGGGCGTCCCAGCCAGCACCAGAGCCACTTCCGGAGTGACCGCCGTGGGGTTGACGCTGTTCCAGGTAGAAGCTGCGGCTCAGATGTCAGTCACGGCTGATATCACCTGTGGCAAGTAAATGACACTTTCAAAATGCGACACATTCGGGGTCGGCGACCGTAGACTGCCAAGGGAATGGCCAAACCATTGTTCGTCTTACGCAACGGACCCGACAAGGCTCGTCGTTCCAGGGAGTGGGTGGCGTGCTGGCGGCTGTGCGAGGTTCGGGTGGCGGCGCGGCCCGGCCAAGCTGGCAGTCACTTGCAGAACTCAAGCCAGCACCTGGGGATTCACATAACACTGACGGCCAAGGCGTGCGCCACGCGTGTGGCATTAAGCGAATCCCCAACCTTTTGTCTCGCCCATGGCTGCAGTCACCAGGGTCTTGGCATTCACGTCGTGCTGGCGGCTGCGGCGGCTGCGGAGGCTGCGGCGGCTGTCCAAGCACATGCAGCAGACTCTCTTATCACTGACAAATTTGACTTGGGTACCAGAAATGGTGGAGTAACAAGGAAACCTGCCGCGACCTTTTCCCCGCTGCATCTCAAGGACAGTCGCTCGCGTGGCGTGGCTGAGTCAAGGGTGGAGCGGTTTTCGGGCAGCGCCTAGGATTTTTGCAAAACACTTTTCATTAGTGACCATTGGCGGTGCTGAATCGTAAAGCATTAGCAAAAACCCTGACCCTTGGCTCTGAGTGACCGTCGGGGAGTCGACGGCGCGCTGGCGCAAGTGCTGGCGGCTGTCCTCGGTGACGGCCAACCACTCGCCGGAAGCTCTATGAGACTGTCGAGACACGCAGTTGAGGGTCGGATGAGACCACCTCTCTCTGTCTGATCACGGCACACTGCAGGAAAAGACCACAACAAAAGTACACAAATTTCTGGCAAATTTTTTATCAGGAATTTAGTGTACTTTTCAAGTACAACAATTGTTGTACAAAGTACAATGGATCCGGCATGACGAGTGCTGTGCAGTCCAGGGCTCGTTGTGGTTTGTACAATTCTCGTTGTACTTTCTACAATCCCTGTTGTACTTTTGTACTGTTTTTGTTGTACTTTTGTTGTACTATCCACTCTTTTTCTTGCAGTGCACCGGCTGTTCTCAGAGAGCGCGATGGCAGCTGTACTCACCCCGATGCACCTGAGGCAGATTCACTGACAACTGTCATGTCCGAGGGCCAGAAATTGGAGTTCTAAGAGAATTGCCTACCCTGTCTCCGTCTGACGGACGGCTCCGACCGGCTGTCGTGGAGTCGATGTCCAACTGGGCGGGCTGTGTGTGCTGTCTTCTTCGACGGCAGTACTGCTCAGCTCAATTGCTCGCCTGAAGCACCTATGGCGAATTTCCTTTGAACTGACAAGCCACATTCCACTCAATTGGGGATCAGAAATTGTGTCTCAAGAGGTTCACCAACCTTCCGACCTCTGTCCGAGTGCCCGCCAGTGCCCGCTGTGGCGGCGGCTGTCTGGAACGCTCCCCAACTCCCCGAGTGATTCTCTAAACACTGTTAATCCGTGTCCCACACTGTCGGGGAGAAATCGGTCAGTGGGACCACCAACCTTTCTTCGTCGCACGTACGGTTGCGGCCGTCTTTCTGACGGCCCCGTCGCAGCTCTCTCGGTGCAGTACGAGGTTCGAGAGTCAATAATTTCTCGAAAGCTCCTGTGGAATTCTCATAACCCTTTTAGTTCGCGAATCTCATGTGGGAAGCCGCATTAGAAATCGTAAAAGTTTTAGGAGAACCACACCTTTGTCCATCTCACCCAGGCTCGACCACTGTGCAGTTGACTGCGTTGCGTAGACCAAGTTGACGAAGTTTATTGGTTGATTTTTTCGATTATTTTTAATTGATTGGGAAATATTAATATTTATTTTTATTTTTTAAAAAAATTAAAGCTTAATATAGCATTTGGGTCGCAGCTCTTGAGAGTGCACAACCCGTCGAAAATTTTTTTCCCCCACAGGTTCTCGTTCGCGGGCACCGGGTAAATTACTAAAATTTTGGTCCACCCACTGTCTATATCCCCTTCATTCTGGAAACGGTTGCAGTTTAGAAAAAAAACCTACAACCATCTTTTAAAAGATAAGTCTTTTGAAGGCATTCTCTGATATTCTTAGGGAGCCGTTTACTTGAAAAGGGCAACTCGCAAGTAACTGGGATTCCTGTCGGAACTCCTCAAAAATTAGAAATTTTAATTCACGGCTGCTCAGATTTAGTCGCTGCAGCGCAACGAGTGGCGATTTGGTTGGTTTTAAAGTTTGGATCAATGCAGATGGAGGCGCTTTTAAAAGAGCTGGGAATTACCAGGTAGTGTAAACGTAGCGGTTATTGTTAAAACGACAACCCCGTGTGCCGCAGTCGCACTTTACCGGGGAGCCGACTGGAGGCAGAGGCCTGGCCTACTGACGACGTGGTTGCGGTCGACAGGGAGGGGGTTTAGGGGAGGCTCGTTTGCCGGACGCCGCGGGCGGTGGCGGGGGAAGTGGAGGCGGGGGCGGGGGCGGAGGCGGGGGCGGAGGCGGGGACGGAGGCGGCGTTGACGGAAGCGGAGGCGGCGGAGGCGGCGGAGGCGCGAACGCCGACGGGACGGGGTCGACGGGGTCGACGGGGTCGACGGGGTCGACAGTGGCAGGCGCCCGCGCGTCGTAGACATGCGGTGGCATGGCGGCGTGGGCCTGCGGCAGCATTGGTGGCATCGGGGTGATTCCGCGCGTAGGGGGCGTTTTCGTGTCCACACCCTCCCCAGAGCGAACTTATTCGAGTGCAGTCCATTTATGCACTTAAGAATCTTCTTTGGCACTAGACTAGCTTGTTCCCTTCGTGTACGGACTTTCAAAGCTAAAATGTGACGCGGGAGGGGGGCCTAAAGGGTCGATTTTGTAAGTTCCGTCATGTCCATTCGCACCTTACACCAACTTTGCGGCTCTGTAACCATTTGTTCCATTCGAATCTTCGAATTCCACACACACCCATCAAATCTCTAACGTATAGTGACTATCTTGCTTGAATTTCAAGATCCTATATTGATTGAAAGTGTCCTTTTAGAACGCGTACAAAATGTCCACCGTACTCCGACTTTTACCTTGGTGGTTTCAAAGTAACAATCATCTAAACTACTAAGAGTGCTCCCAGCTCAAAACCACCGCCGTATTTAGAATCAGCACGGTCTGTTTACCCTATGAACGAATCCCGGTGGCGAAAAAGTAAGGGGGCTGAGTGTGCGAGAGGAAGTTGTGTGTGAAAACGGTGGGTTGTAACAATTGATGTAATTTCCGTATGCCGCCCTCGCTCCTCTCCTGTTGGGTTTTGAAAGTCATCCTACACGTGAAAAGAGGTGTCTTGACGTCAAACAAGTGTGCCAAACTTATGGCATATTTCTGAGGCGATGCGCATTTGCAGTGAGCCAGAAACATCTGTTTGTAATTTCCGCCAAGCGTAATTTCCGTCATATTTTCAGTACATTCCGTCATATTTTATAGGGGGAGAAAACGAAAGTCAACTTTTAGCTCGCCCACGCCCAGAGTGTCTTCCTGGGGTTCTATTGATGCCATCTAGGCAAAATTCGGGCCGAACGAGCAAGATTGATTATGTGACTTTCTGAGGTGGCTAAAACGACCCCTACGCGCGGAATCGCCCATCGGCGAGTCGTGCTGCTGCTGCATATGCCAGAGGAAGCATTGGGATTGGCAGTGGCCGGGGCTCTGGCAGAACCAGCAGACAAGCGGTCTGTTGCGTTTGGTGTTGCCACCGCGGCGAGCGTCACCTTGGCCGTTGTCTGGCCTGTCAGCGCGGCCGCCAAGCCGCGAGCTCGGTGCAGCGGCGCCAGGGCGACCGCCGACCTCGTCGACGAAGATCGTGAGGGGGTTGGCGGTCGGGACTCGCCGGGCCAGCAGGTTGCCGCGCGCCTGGTGCGGCGGGTGCGCCTGGTGCGGCGGGTGCGCCTGGTGCGGCGGGTGCGCCTGGTGCGGCGGGTGCGCCTGGTGCGGCGGGTGCGCCTGGTGCACACAGGACTTGGCGCGCCGCGGGCCGGGCCGAGCCTCTTCGAGCAAGGACAGGGTGCGCGGCCGTTTCGCCGGGGACTGGCCGCGGGTCGGGGTCGCGTGGCGGCAAGCGTCCCGCGCACTGCCAGCCTGGCCAGTGGGGGGGCAGGCGGGCGCGCCGACCTCGGCGTCGTACATCCCGCTCTGGAAGTACTGGGGGGCCGCGTCAAGCAGTGGACCCGAGCGATCGCACCACACCCCGAGTGGCATGTCCGGCACGGCCTGCTCGCCGGTCGGCGCTTGGCCGGTCGGTGCTTGGCCGGTCGGCGCTTGCCCGGGCGCGCCGCAAGAGCCGTAAGCGCCATGAGCGCCATAAGCCACCAGGAGGGCCTCGTCAAGGGCCCGGAAGGTCCGATCGGTGCCGAGGCACTCCAGAAGGGCCAGGGGCTCGCCTACGAGTGCCGAGGCCAACAGCTCGAACTTCTGCTGCTCCGTGAGCTGGAAATAGCGGACCGCTTCCGCGAAGCAATCGCGATAGATTGCATAGTTCACCCTGCCGTTGTAATGGGGCACTGCAGGCAGCGCGATGTGCTCGACGCCACCCGACGGCGTAGCTATCAATAGGCCGGACGCGCAATGAGCGGAGCCGTGCACGAAGCGGGCCGAGGACTGCGGGGCCTGCGCGGACTGCGTGGACTCCGTGGACGTCGAGGGCACAGGTTCGGCATGTGGGGCACTGTCCGGGGGCGTGGCGGTGGCGACTCGAATGGCCTGCAGAGCGTGGTCGAGGGCGCACTGCAGCTCAGCGACGCGGGCCTGCAGCCGCCGCACTTGGGCGTTCGGCCAAGGACGCCAGGGCTCTGCTTCGGCACCCTGAGGCGGCGGCTCGGCCGGCTCGGCCGGCTCGGCACTGGAAGAGCGGGAGGGCGCGCGGTCCGTCATGCCGAAGGTGCCGCAGGCCGGGTTCGAAGGGACACGACAAAGCCTCGTCCGCGGGGCGCTCCGTGGGACGCGCCGCCCCACAAAGCTGGAATGTCTCAAATCCAAAGGGGGGAGGGGGACAGAACACGGTGACCCGGCCGCGGACCGGGTATCCGGAACCCGGCACCCGAGACGAGAGACCCAGATAAACAAGCGGACGCGCTGGATGCCCTGGTGGCGATAAATTACGATGCAAAGAATCTAGCTGATTTGTATTTTTTGCGTGCGTCTGAAACACCTGTAGAGAAACAGTATTAAATGGTGTCGCACACATTTGTTTTAGGGCGGGGCACTGTAGAGCTTAACGAAAACCACCAACCTTTCTGAGTGTGACGCGCGGCTCTGCGACTGCCCGTCGAGGAGTCGACGGCTTTGGGGCTGCCTTTGCCGCGGTGCTGCGCCGCTGCCCGGACGGCAGCTTGGCTTCGGGGCCAATCACTGGACTACAGCGCCTGTGGCAAGAACACTGTCACGTCGTTTCATGCTGTTAGGGGGAAAGTCAGCAGCAGTGTTTGCCGAGGACACGCGGAGGGACAGTCTTCATACGATGAAAAGATGAACAGACCTTTACCCGACTTTACCAGCGCGACACAATGACCGTTTTACGCGTCAACACCACAGGCCATTTGGGAGCGCTGGCAGCTGGCCCCCGAGGCGGCGCGCCATGTCGTGGCTCAGCTGTTTGTCGGTCGCCGGACGCTCGACAACTTTCTCAACACTTTGAAATCGCGTCCCACACATCTGATTTAGGGGTCGAAAATTGCAAAGCATTGAGAAAATCGCCAAACTTATCTTGATCTTCCGAACTGCTCCGACCCACAGAGGCCACAGAGGCGTGGAGGCCTGTGGCGCGGCCTCGGGCGCGGCTGAGCTGTCTACACACTTAAATTCTAGCCAAGATGCCGATTTGCAAACTTGCAGGATTTTATTTTGAAGTTGCCATTTGCAGAGTTTGTCCGTTGCAAACTGCTTGTTCGTTTTCATTAGTTAACTTATTGTTCGCAAAATTGCGGGAAAAAAAAAGATGAGTTAGTCAAATTTTCTGCAAGCTGCTGAATGCTTATCATAATGCAATTGCAACAAATTATCACTCGAGGTGATTCTCTGACGCTGTGTATCTCACCTCACTTGGGGGTTGAGAATGATTCGGCAGTTGCTTCGCCTCGTGGGAGGCTGGGGTCCCGCGGCGCGCCGGCTGGGTGGCGAGTGGCACAGATGTCAATCACTCGCCGGAAACACGTCCTGTTGGCGAGTTCCTGAACACACTCCAAATCGCAAAATGTTGGATGGCAAAGTCTATTCAGGAAATACCAACCTGGCTGCGTCCTCCGATGCTCCCGTGGAAGTGCGCGCGTTCGGCCGGTCGGGAGTGGAGCACGAGGTGCACGAGGAGCACGAGGACCACGAGGAAGCACCAGGATCAAGAAGAGCAGGAAAAGCACTTTGAGCAGCAGGACGAGCAGGAGGAGAGCACGGCGAGCAAGGCGAGCAAGGGCAGCGCGACGAACACGAACAACGTGAGGAACACGACCGGCACCAGCACCACGACGAGCACGAGGTACACCAGGATCACTAGTACCAGAGGCACGAGCAGCACGAGGAGGCACGAGGAGCACCACGAACACGAGGACAACAAATAGTATGAGTATGACGAGTGCTACACGCTGAATACGAGTAGCGCGACCACCGCGAAGAGCAGCAGCACGAGCAGCACGAGGGCCAGGAGCAGCACGACCATCTCGATGAGCGCGAGCAACGCGAGGGGCCGGCGTGGCCTCGGGCGCGGACGGCCCCGCGGACGGCCGAGGCGGCCGAGGGCGCCGCGTGGCGCCGCGCGGACTGGCAGAGTGACGGCGTGAGCGGCGAGCGCGGCGTGAGGCAGGCACACCGGACGAGAGCGTGGTGTTGTCCGTCGGGGGCTTCCCTCCGGTCTGGACGCCAGCCCCGCCTGTCGGCCGCCCGGTGCCTTCGGGGCCTTCGGTTTCGCGCCCGAAACAAAGACTGGCGGTCATTGTCGTCGGAGATGAGTGGGAGAGAGATGGGGAGTAGCCTGTAATTGAATCAAGTGAGCCAGTATCCCGGCCTCCCCGCCAGAGGCGGAATAATGAGAAATATGATGGCCGGGATGGGGAGCAGCTTCTCAGTATGATCGCTCATATCGAAAATCGCCAGTTCCCTGAAAGCGCGCCGAATTTCGTTATGCCCCGATGATGACGTCGGTAATGACGTTAACCAGGGGGAGCAGCCTCGGAGGCCTCGGAGCAGCTGGTGTCCGTTTTATCGCATTTTGCTGCGACTCTCCGAGTTTCCGTAGTCTCTTCTTCGGTGCTCCTGGACTTTTCGGTACTCTTCGGTACTCGTCGGTACTCGTCGGTACACTCTTCCGCTCTCTTCGGACTCTTCGGTACTTTTCAGTTCTCGTCCGTACTCTTCGGTAACGAGTCGTAAAACCTTGCGCGCCGCCGCTCCCCCTTTTCCACGGCGCTGGTCGTTGCGTCTATCTGTTTTTGTTTCGGACGAATGTGTTGTTTCGGGCAGGCCAGGCGGGGTCGTTGCACGGAGGGTACGGAGGGGCGGCGCGGTGGGGCGGCGCGGTGGGGCGGGCCGCAGCCTCCGCCGTACCACCTTGCCGCGCGCCGAACCGACCCCGAATGCCGCTGAGCCAGGTATTTAATTACCAGCTGACAAAGTGCATGAGGGTCCCGCCGAGCTCGTACCGCGGTACAGCGAACCCCCATGTTGCTCTGCCCCGCCCCGCCCCGCCCCGCCCCGCCCTGCCCCACCACGCCACGCCCTGCCACGCCCCGCCCCACCCTGTTCGCCGCCCCGCCACGCCACGCGGCCGTGATGAATCGTACTTGCCGTAATTTGAATGTTACGGTCTGCCTCCCTGCTCGCTGCGAGCTCGCTGCGCCGGCCCCGCTAACGCATGGAGCAGTCTAGCCGCGCCCTGCCGCTGCCGCCCGGGCCGGGGGTCGGGGGTCGGGGGTCGGGGGTCGTCGTCGCCGGGTCGGTCGGGACGGCGGGACCCCTCCCCTGCAGGGCATGCCCGCAGGGAGCCTCGCGACAATTTGCATCACGATGTAGGAACACTTGCGTCAACCCTGCGCCGGGCTGCACCTCCTGGCGTGCCGCGCGGTGCCGCGCGGTGCCGCGACGGTCGTCGGTGCACGGCGGCACGGCGGCTGGGGTGGTGTAGGCGGCGAACTGTACCCGTCGGCGCAGAGTACCCCCGGGTACACAACGCCTAGGGCCATAGTACCCTGGGGTACATGACGACTAGGTTCAATGTACCCAGGGGTACAATTCGCCTAGGTGCCACGCGAATGCAAAGAACCTAGGCGAGGAGTATCCCCTCGGCCGGCCGGAGGGGGATACAAAAAGCCTAGGCGCAATGCATCCCCCCCCCCCGGATACAAAAATCGAAAAAAAAAGAAGAAAAAAGGGGGGCCCTTCTCCCACCTCCGCACACAGGTCGGAGGGCCGCCTGCAACTTCGGTGGATCGGGGGAACCGGTGCTTTACAGGCGGCGACCCCAGGGGTTCTCGTCTGTATATGGGCCGGGCTTGAAGGGCGGGTTTGACAGTCTCTCTCTGCCTTGAGAGCCTTTGCTTTTCGCGGGGTGGTCTGTACCAAATGTACACCCGCTGTCCGGCGCTCTCTACCAAATATACAGCTTGTTTAAGGGCCAGCTTCAAAGGACTTATCATCTCCTCCCGACGAATCAAGGAGGACCCACCCGCGACCAATTACGGGTGGCTGGATTGACGGATCGAATACTCCGTCGCTCCAGTGCCGAGGCCAACCCGCCGAAGCGCAGTTGCTTTTTGACACCCCAGCGGAGTGGCCAGGTGAATGTGACTCTGACCACTACGCTATCAAGCTTGTACGTCTGGCGTCGTGTTGGACGACGGGTTTGAGTTGCAGTGGAAGGAAGCCAGTCGAAAAATGTAATGACATGATGGGAGTCGATCCCAGGACCCTACTGCCGGGACCGCACGACTTTTGCCGCTCGCCCACCACGGCCCATGACGAATGGAGCGGCGTGAGGCGGGCTCTTGACGCGACAGGAATGGACCGACCCGGTCAAAATTTCACAAGAAGTTTGGGGAGTCGAACCGCCGACCTCAGCACGGAGAAGCGACGCCTCTACTCCCTAGACCACCACGGCACATGCAGTTTGTAGGCTGAAGTCACGGTTTTCAACCACACTGGGCGAGGCAGTAAAATTAAATGTTAATGTTTGTTAGGAATCGAACCCCCGACGTGTGGGACTGTTCTACGCGGCTCCGCTCTGATGGCCTCGAACCGTTCCACAAAAGAGAGGAAATCGAAAAAAAATATTTTGAGATGCCGGTATTCGAACACCGCACTGTGCAAATGTTAGAGACGTTCGATCGCATTTGTACAGTGCGGTGTTCGAATACCGGCATCACAAATTTTTTTTTCGAGTGCGGCCGAGTGCCGTCGGCCGTCCGGCCTCGTCGCGCAGGGAGTGGATGTGCCGCAGATTGCCCCGCAGCCTCGCGGTCCCTCGCGGTCCCACGCGGTGCGAGGGGCGGCGGCCGTGAGGCGGGGGCCAACTTTGGAGAGCCTCCCCAACCCCCTACCCTTTCCCCCACCACTCCCAATCCCATAGGCGGGGGGCGCCCGGTAGTCTGGTCAAGATTATGTGCGAAACATGATTCCACATTAAACTTGACTCCGTCCCACCCCTCGCCCTGCTGGCAAGTTGGGGTCATCCCGGGGCGCGGCCAGGCGCGGCGGCAGGATTGGACGCCGGGACGCCGGGGCCGCGGGGGCCGCGGGGGGTGGGGCGGGGGCGGGCAGCGGCCCTGGGGAGAGGGGCCGCCGTCGCACGCCTGAGTGGAGTCGCGGAGCAAAAGACGGGGCCGCCCGCCCAAAAAGGTCCAAGGGAAAAAAACAAGACCAAAAGAAACTAGTCTGGCCGACCCGTCCGTCGCGCGACACCGCGACGCACCGCGACGCACCGAGGAAAGGCGTGGCCAAGGTCGCCGTCGCCGGCCTGGCGCGTGGGAAGGGTAATCCCTGCACGGGGCGGTCGCGCGGCGGCGGTAGAGCGCCGTGCCGGCCAAAAAATTAGGATGCCTCTCTTCTGCCGCCGCCTCATCTCGTAAGCAATTCCCTCCCCAGTCTCCCTCCAGTGCCCCGGTCCCTGCCACCGAGCTCCCCTCCCCTCCCCTCCCCCTTCGACCTCCGTCTCAGACCTGCCCTCCTAACGTTTCAACTTGCTTGCAGTCATACTCCAGGGGATTGAACGCCCAAACTTCTGGCGTTCGCCGTAAGCCCACCCCGCCCTCTCGCGCCGAACGGCCGCTTGCTGTACCAGCCTTCGTCATGGTCGCTTCCGAAGCCCTCCGAGGCCGCGGTCGAGGCCGCGGTCGAGGCCGACGTCCCCACGTGTTCGAGCTCCCGCCCCGGTGCTCCCCGTAAAGCCGTGCCCCTGACAAACTGAGGGCCAGGTCAACTCGGGGGTAACTCGGGGGTAACTCAGGGGTAACTCGGGGGTAACTCAAGGGGAAGTCGGGGGGAAGTCGGGGGGAACTCGGGGGGGAAATCGGGGGGAACTCGGGGGAAGTCGGGGGGAACTCAGGGGCAAGTCGGGGGGAACTCGGGGGGAACTCGGGGGGAACTCGGGGGCAAGTCGGGGGGAACTCAGGGGTAACTCGGGGGCAAGTCGGGGGGAACTTGATCGACTCGCCCAAACACTAGAAATACGCTCCAAACTAGCACCGTTGCCTTTGTCTCGTTGCCCCGATTCTAAAAGTGCCCCTACTTGCCCCTCTAGAGCTCAGCGGTTCCCAACCTGGGGGTCGCGACCCCAAATGGGGTCGCGAAAAAATTTTGAGGGGTCGCGGCGAGGTGGCTGGGGTCGCCTGGGGTCGCGGTGGTTTCCCGGCTGGCCCACACGCCGAGCACTGGCTGCTTAAATGCCGCAAAGTTGATCAAAACGGTCACAAATGTGTGTAAAAGATCGTGTTTTGGGTCGACTTTAAGCATCCACTGCTTCTGATCCGAGGCGGTAAATCGCCCTCCCTCAACGGGCAATTGGTCTTTGGACCTTCCTTTTGCATGCCTTTGTTACGGAGTGCAATTATCTGCCTCAGTTTGGAAGCAGTACTGCCGCAAAGTTGGTCTAAACAGTCACAAATGTCTGTGAAAAATCGTGTTTTGGGCCGACTTTAAGCATCCACTGCGTCTGATCCGAGGCGGTAAATCGTCCTCCGTCAACGGGCAATTGGTCTTTAGACCTTTCTTTAGCATGCCTTTGTTACGGAGTGCGATTATCTG